GACAAGTGTTCATCTTGAATATGTTGCAACAATTAATTGTTTAATGATGATCACTGAATACTACCAAAAGCAAAATTTCGATGAGAGAGCTTCAAATTATTATATACGAGCTCTTGAAATACGAAAAAAAATCTACCCAAAAGATGATTTCATCATACTCAAGACACAATCTCTAATTGACACTAATGGAAATCAAACATAATGAACGTTATATATTTTTTCTGTATGGCAAATCTGAGCAACAAACCGGTATGCATTGAAAAAAATCGGGCAAAACCAAAGTCTGCTCTTAGTGTGCTATCAGCAAACTTCAAGTTTATTTTCAAAAACAAAAAATTAGCTACATATTTGAATCGATAATAGGTATTAACGATTGCAATTCTACACATTTCATCCAAATAAAGTCTCCATGAGTATGATTTGAACTTTTGCAATGGATATTTTCTTCACTTATCTGTTCAATAATTTGCCAATCGAGTTCACTAGCTAGTTCTCGAAAGAAATTAGTTACATTAAATTTGTCACTGTTTTGACGGACATATGTTAATACATCTGTTGAACTGATAAATATTTGTATTCATTTCAATTTTGTAAGAACTCCATTTTTGAAAGTCTTGTTCGTATTCATACGCACAAGGGATTTTGAATTCTATACTTACCTTAAAAATTCTATTTCCTTCTAAGTCTAACGGCAAACCATCCTAATCTACTGGCTTAATTGCATGCCAATAATGCTCACCAAGGCTGCAACTTTCATTAGTCAGTTCAAGTGCTTCGAGTGAATAAGTTCTCAGAGCATTTTGTACTGTTTGCTCGCTAGGCTCATATAATTCATCATAATCATCATAGTATTCTGGTGAAATCCGAAAACCAAAAAGTTCAACGAATATATGAGCATGATGAAGAGATGACGATTTGACGAAGACATATTTGATCTTGTATCCTACTCCATCTTCATTTTCATTCGCGTCAATTAATTGAAAGAACATGATGAATCCGTACTGAAAAATAAATTATTTCGAACAAACTTATATAGATACTAGTATGTTAGAGTATTTCACCATCGATTTACACTGTGACGTAATTGCATAGGACAAAAATAAAGAGCACATGAAAAAATGAATATTGACATAACTGTAGGTTTACTTCTCGTTGATATTATATGATACACAAGACTTATAGTAAACCACTATTACTGTCATGAGAAAACGAATAATGCTTTATTAATAAATTTTAGAAGTACGATAGGTTTTAACAGCAGCTTTTCATTGAGCACTTTTGGCATTCTTTTAGTGAGCTTACTAAAGGATAAATGTAAGTTCGACATGTTAACCTCAGAGCGACTGCATTACTAAACTTTCTTATAATGTCATAATTCCATATCGATTCTAGTAATTCAACTACTTGTTTTGAAATATATATACCCATATACGTGTTCCTCTCGTTATATTAACGATAGAAGCAATATATTAAATCGCGGCTTTTCTATCTTTTAGGTTCTTCTTGCAATGAGCATATTTTTTTAAACAATAGCAATGAGTCAAATTTTTACTTCGAAATTTTCGAACTGCTCATTGTAGACGATAGAAATTTGAATGAAATAATGTATTCGAATGATAGTCTTACTTGAAATTTGATTCATTGTCTATATTAAGGAAAATATTAAATTAAGAAAAGCGAAGTATGAAAATCAAAAATAACGTGCGAATACTAACAATGAAAACAAAAAATAAGACCCACATAAAAATATAAAGGAGATTTTTCTTCGAAACGTAGGAAGGCAATAGAATCTGGTGACAATTGATCATCGCTGGAAAAGAAGCATCATTTCCGAGAATTTTTCTATATTGTGTAATTTGTACTAATCAATGAACCGCAATAAAAAAAAGAAAACTCCCGCATTTTAGTTAAAATAGAACTGTGCTGAAAAGTTTGTTTTGGACCATTTGTTCTTTTGGATTTTCGTATTAGTGACATCAGTAGTAGTTGGTGTCATCGATCTTCTCTCCAATTGCAAAACGACTGCGATGAGTTTATCTAAAACTACATAATTGATATCGAGAGAATTCGGTGTACAAATCCTTGGCACTTTCAATGAATTCTCTCCATATATTTACGTTTATTCGAATCTATACTAAAAGCAATGACACAATCCAAATCATAGTTTATTTAGCTGTGTTACGTCAAAAATAGTTCGGAAAGACTGCGTATATAACTGTTTGAGCATTTTATTTAGTGACTGAGCAGACAACTGCTCAAAGCACATTCACAACAACATGTAAGTGCAGTCAATTACACCAAAACAAAACAAAAATTTATTTTTTATTAAAGCTGAAACCACAACTTCGACTACCACGGAAACAACAAGTAAGAGAATATTTTGGAATAATAAGTTTCAATATTCATCTTTATTCGATAATTAAGCTTCAGCAACAAGAACAACAAGCACTTCTAGTACAAGTACATCGACAACCTCGTTGATGACTACAACAAGTAAGAATTATAAATGAAACAGCACTTGTATTTAATCCTACGGTATCAATGAGAAAGAACAGTTGGTGTTCAACGAATACTTTGTGTTTCTGAATATTGAGAGAAAATGCTCTCTGTGCAAGAGTACAACGGGTTGTTAGATTGGGATATAGAAAGGTTTTCTGTCATCCTAGACCTTCAATATATTAGTGTCTGTGTTAGATCCTTAAGAAAGTACCCATGGGAAGATTGAGGAACCAACAAATTCTCCGAAATTTGAATTTATGGGTGCTCAATGTGAGTTCAAAAAGATCAGCGCCACAAAACACTAAACTTGAATCCTTTGTTCTTTTGAGTGTGTCATTGTAAAGATAACCAATACCGACTGTTAACAAATGCCACGTACTTGTAAGAAAATAATCAAAAATCGTTCAACATACCACAGTGCAGAGCTGGACAGAATACTCGAATTACTCGTACTCGAGAAAGCCTGTACTTGCCCATGTCCAGCTCTCTGTCATAGAATGCTTCCGTACATTATACTAAAATATAGAGTATCAATTGTTCAGAAAGTTGAGCAATTTAAATTGCTACATCAAGTCTTTTTACTACATTTTTATAGTGCAACCTCAGTGAAAAGGTTTGTAATTTAGAAGCTCATAATGTTCAAACTTTAGTATGATATATTTGCTGCCAGATTTCCCGAACCTTAAAGCATTAATTTGAATTATTTCAAAATAAATTATGTAACTTTTCATATTTCACAATGCAGTGATAAAAGTATTAGAAAAAGAAGCGAATGTTCGAGACGAAGTAGGGTTCACATTTCTTTCCTACTCAAGGGGTTTTAACTATCATTTAAATAAGAATTCTCACAAGTTTTCATTTTCATGACAGGATGGTAAGTCACAACAAAAGCGGCGTTCACGAACACTATCGAAAATTACATCCACCCATAGAGGCTCTAGAGAGATGCTTTCTGAAAATTTCTTGAGCTGCTGACGAAAACAGTTTGAAGAATTATCAGTCACTGCCGTTGTCATGACCAATCTCCTTAGATTTTCTTCGTCCCTGTGGCACACACACACACACACACACACATATATATATATATATATATATATATATATATGCTATTTGCGAATGTTTTAGATACCCTGGGCCAATTTTTATCATTTTTCTCTTTCATATTGAAAAGCTTCAGCTAACATCTCTGTCTAACGGTTGTACTTTAGTAAACTATTAGCCGATTGCGTCCAAGCGGTTATGCGATCGCAAAAAAACTATCATTCAGCTTAGTTTTGCTACGCATAGAGCTTGAGTGAATGTAAAGTTTCAGTATTATTTATAGAATGCTACATAGTATTATGCCAGCCATCATTCCACTCTCTAAAAAAACTCGGTCGTTTACGTAGCTAGTCACGCCCCATCACACCAAACTGCTACATTTTGCTGTTTGGCCCGTTTTGAAAATTTATTTATTTTAGCTACAACATCAACAACGGTAAAATATTCAAAAATGATGCATATCATGCATATAAGTATTCAACATAGGCAAAAGATTTCAAATGAGAAAAGAATAATTGAACGAACTCTACTTCGACGTCAACCACGTCGACCACGTCGACTACAACGTCTACGTCAACAACTTCAACGACGACCTCGACAACAACAACAACTTCAACGACGACCTCGACAACAACTACAACAACTACAACAACAACAACTACAACAACAACTACAACAACAACTACAGCAACAACTTCAACAAGTACTCTAGTGAAATCATGTGCTATTTAAATCATCTTTTTGTTCTCTTTATATTCAGCAACGACCACCACAACGACTTTCGATTCATGTGAGTTTTCATATCAATTTTAATTAATCAAATCAATTTTTTTAGAATCGTAGTAGATTGATGGAAATACTTTGAAGCATAGACCTCTCTATTTTCAACGCAAAATGTTAGATAATTTTGCATGCCCACCGCATCAATAGTTATAGAGAAATTGATGTAGTTCTATAAAATTATTTTGAGCCTCCAAGTTGCAATCATTAACTTTTCTCGGTTATCTATGAGAACATTGAAATATATTCTATGTTAATAAGATTACAGATTAGCACCGACTTTCTCCTAGCTACGCATGATTTTGTTGAAAATACAATTTTGCAAAAAATTGAGTGGTTTCTTCCAACATTTACTAGAGATTGAAAAACATTCAAAATAGAATAGAATCATGATTCGATAAGTCATGTTAATTTTATACTAGAACCGATGTATTTTAATTAATGTATCATATTACCTCAGGTACCAGTCTGAAATGGAATCTAACTGGTGTGGGGGTGGCAGGTGTTTCGGGTGGTGGTGGAATTGCTGCTAATCAGCTTCACAACCCTCTTTTCATATATATTAATGCAAAAAATACACTGTACATATGCGATAATGGAAATAACAGGGTGCAAAAGTGGGTTGCAGGAGCCTCAACTGGCACAACTGTAGCCGGCGACAACGGTGGAAGCAATGGAAAGACTGCAATTTTACTCGACAAGCCAACAGGCATCGACTTCGATTTAATGGGATACATGTATATAACTGATTATAACAATAATCGAGTGCAACGCTTCCCACCCAACTCAAACACCACAACCAGTGGCACGACTGTTGCCGGTTCATCAGCATGTAATAGTGGTAGTACCAATGGCCTTCTCCATCAACCCGTTGATGTCAAAATCGATGCAAATTACAATATGTTCATTAGTGACATGGGTAACAAACGCGTGGTGAAATGGGCTCCCAACGCAACAATCGGTAGTGTTCTTATTGATGGCAGTACTGGCGGTGCAGCTCAAAATCAGATTAGCAATCCATATGGTCTTATATTAACTAATGATACTTTGAATGAAATTTATCTAAGCGATAATAACCAGCGTGCTGTTTATCTGTGGCCATTCGGAGCAGCAACCGCAACCATCCAATATACTATGGCCAATTCTCTCCAAATGGATCACCCATCACAGATTATACAAGATCCGTATGGGAATTTGTACGTTGCCGACGCGAATCAGAAGCGAGTGCTGATGTTTTGTGTCAATGCAACAGTGGGTAATGTGATAGTTGGAACTGGTACTAGTAGTACACCTACGCTGGGGGATCCAGTTGGAATTGCTTTTGATTCGGATCTTAATTTATATGTTTCCGATGCCAATCTGAACCGAGTATTGAAATATATGCTTCTCTAACTTTTCATCCACATTCTTCATGACTATATAGACATAATCTGAGTTCTCTGAACTTAAGTGCGGTTTGCTTCTCCATTTTCAACTTACAAAACTCTGTCCAATATCCGATTTAAAAACGACGCTACATATTTTATTACAGAAAAATCGAATAACATCATTGAAGATGCAGGTTTCTACTGGACAGATGTATTCATGCAGAAAACATTCCCTTTATATTAATATGAAATATGCATTGTGATAAAAAGATATATCTATCTAACACGCTATTCCAATTTCACAAAAGCAGAGTGAGGTTCTCACGAGCGTCTCGATCATGATAATGATAAAATAGGTGTGACAGTAATTGTCGGGTTTGCAAGTGTATGTTAACGTGTTCAAGGGTAGGTACTTCCTATGTATGGCTACACTATAATATTCATAAAGTAGCTTCACAATGAATTGAATGCAACAAGATCACAACATACTAAGCGTACAGATCTAAATGGCAAACTATTATTTAACATTTTAAATTACATTCACGACAATAATGTGTCGAACATAAAGAATGATCACGTAATATGCGTGAACAGGAACAAAGTAGTCATGGTCAGCCACTTGAACAATGAATGCTTACTATATATGTACAAGATAAATGAGCAAACGCATGAATATAGTACATAGGATAATATACATGAAATGAACCGTTATAAATAGTCCACAGCATACCAATAGCTACACCCTCAATTAGAGTACTATGATTCTTGAAAAACATCTTTGAATGAACAGGTCGTAACAAAAAAAATTTAATTTTATATGATCATTTCAGTCAAACATTGTTTTATAACTCAAAACTGCATCTGTTTAGAGTTTATGATTCTTCTCTACACGAAATGATTAGTACGCTACAGTTCTGCAACATAAAATAAATTCTAATAATTTCGTCTTTGTCTTATCATAATCAGGAAATATGTTTATAATCGTCGATACTGTGAATACTTCACAATCCGAAACACTTCATAATTTAAGGAATATCCAGAACTACGAGCCTAATTCAAGCTTAATTATCCTTTTAATTAGAGTTTTGGACTTTTCCATCTTTTATTTGATCATCTTCAGCTTACATATTCACAATACATATACAATGACAGATTTTATAGTCTCATGAACATACACTTGACAACGTTTACAAAGAACTGAAATTTGCTACAACATGATGAATTCAAATATGCTACTACTAGTGTTCAAATTTTCAACGAAATTTTTAACAATTTTCATGAATTCTACGTAAATACTCAAACTAGGGTGTGGGTGTGAAACACTAATTAAATGAAAACAAAAATGCAAAGCTACTTGAATCATTATGATATCGATTCTTTTGAGTATTTAATTATCCTAGCGAACTTAAGATTATATATCGAATTCGAATTAGGCATGTATTCTGTTAACGATAAAATAGCGTTAGAACAATTCTTTTTCAGAGTCTTGTCTGACTGGTTAGAATATTATGGATACATACAAATAAAATATAAGCTTGTACGCATACATCCAACCCTCAAATTCGGCTACAACAAGTAATAGACACAATGAAATGACGTTTCCAAGGAGATTCAATCCGACCAGTGGATCTGATCGTTTCCGGCATCGAATCCTATGGATTCCGTTGCTTTTCAGTCAGCTCCGTTGAATTCCGACGATTTCCTAACTAACGGATTCCGGTCAGATTTCCGCCGGAAAAATTCCGACGTACCTTGATTCTCCTGGGTTTATTAAAATTTCTCATATCACCGATCTTATGGTTCATACAAAGCACATAAATTGCTAGAGAGTCACACAAGAGAGAAAATACAAGGAAAATACGGACAAGAGAGATAATCATGAAAGGGCACGATATCTATTTCATCATCACATTGATATCTTTAGTTGAAAAAAATCCTTCAAAAACAATATAGAATATAGAAATAGGTTCTAGTTTATTTTAGAAGGACACGCTAAGAAAATAAAATCAAAGTAGTGGACTGCTAAGAAAAGTACTATGGCGTATTTTTTTGTTGTTCAACAGATTTTTTGGTCTGGTTTGAGTTCCGCAAATGGAACCTCTATTTTTAATTCACCATCCGTAGTCAAATGTGATTGGAGTTGTTTGGTTTGTGTTCCAGGTGGCAGCGTCACGGTTTGGAAGAAGAATGATCGCTCAAAATCCTTTGCATTCTTTGATTTGTGTTCGGATTGTACGATCAAATTATTATTCTTGACAGATAATCTAATTTGCTCAGGATGAAAGTCTAACATCGGCATGGTGAGTTGTAATTCTTTCTGGCCACTATTATCGGCAATGTGTGGTTGGAAGGGGCTACTGAGAAAAGCACTATAATCAAAAAGAGGATCACGATGTTCGCCAAATTGTGCCAAATTTTGTTGTTGATTCTTAGCTTCAGCCAGTTTCGTTCTTTTTCTGGATTACGAATAGGTGCTTCGATTACCAATATGTGATATGGAGTCACGTATGAGGCCACATGACTTACATCTAATTGCAAGAAAACAATTATACGGATTCAATCAATTGAACTAACTACCAGCATGCTCAGGCAACTCATAAGTTTTGCGCAGTTCTTGAATGTGAAAGTCACCATCGGGCTGTCGATCTTCTTGTTTAGCTTCAACAATTACTCTTCGACTTTCTACATGTGTCTTGATCGAATGTGGATCAAAACCAGCCACATTGAGTTGTACACGGAATTTTTCCGATTGGCCAGGTTCTTCGTGTTGCTGATTTTCATTGTCATGGCTCGATGCACGATTGAGATGATGTGGCTCGTTAATCCAGCAGAATGATTCAGGCGTAGGACCTAATTCGGTTGATTGTGTATCATTCCAAGGATCGAATAGATGTAGTTGATCACCGAAGAAACGATCCAAAAGATCATCAGACCCTCGATAATGATGGACTGGTAAGAAATTCCTGTTCAACAGGAGAAATTACTTGCCAATAATTATTTAAAAAATCTCTGTTTGAGTGAAGCACGTATTCGCCTTTTTGTAATAGGCGAAGATGTAGTTGACATTAATTGGAGTAGTTTTGGGATGATTCGAGAAATTTTTATTATAGTCAACTCAATTCTTCTTCGTACTTCCTTTCTTTGCTTTTGCTCGGTGTGTGCATGTGTTTAAAGCATTTTTTTTCTTCTAGTTGACAAACAAGGAAGACAAAAAAAACACTAAATTGGAAAATGTCTACTAATAGACAGTGTCATGAAGTGAGTTTCGGTGAACAGAAGATTGACCCATTTATATCTATCTTCAGAGAAAATCAATCATTCTAAATGTGTCGCGTACTTTGAAGACAATATGCCGAGCCATAGTATGATTTTACGACTGGACTATCTTTACTATTGAACACCTATCAGGATGAGGAAAAATCTATAATCATCGGTAACTTTTTTCAGGATGGATATTCGAAGCGAATCTACTACCTTTTCATTCACACCTCTCATATAGTACCATCATTTTAATTGATAATGGATGAAAATTCATATTATTTTATCTTTTTCTGTTTCAAATTCTAACCAATTCACTATGGATCCCATTTTAATTGCTCAGTGTTTTTGCATAGGTCACTATTTTTGGGCAACGTTCTTTTTAGTTGACCATTATGAAAATAAATGAAATAATGAAACAAAGTTTGTCTATTGTTTTTCTTTGGCTGAACAATCAACATAATTATTTCACATTTTATGATAAAAGCAAAAGTTAAAAGTTTGATTTTATTTGCTTTTCCTTTCAAATTAAACCTATACATAAAACAGGCTGCTACCATCTACATCAATGTATAGAAAAACTAATAATCTAATTTAAAAGTACATTCCAAAGAAATATTTCATTTGATGATGTTGTTATTAATAAATCATTCGAGTTTTTTCTGAGAAATTTAATATTTAATATAGTGTCACTGTTACCAATGAAGTCTTGAAATGTTCCCTGAGTATAATCTTTTAATTGTACTAAACGATCCTTTGTACCAATTGCTATTAGATGATTTTCATCTTCATCATTTTTAATGTTTGATATATCAAAACACGAACACCATTGATTTAATGGAATCGTACGAGTAATTTGTTTTGTATCGAGATTATAGATTTGTATAGATTTTTCTATTCCATAACCAATATACATCAGTAGATTTCGATCAATAAAACGTGCTAAACTTGGTGGATATGATTCCCAATTATTATTCTGTATCGTTGTACCATCTGGTGCAAAGGATGGTGCTGAAAACGTTAACCAGTCAATTAATTGACATAAATCAAATTGTTGATTTGATTTCCATAGGCTAATACGTCGATCATGACTGACAATTAACCATATATAAGAATTATTTTCTAATGATTGCTTCGAATCAATCACACAAATCGGCGCATTACCACGATGTTCATTTAAAACACGTACAACTAGGCCTTGAACAAGATTTGATATTGCAACAGAACCATCTGATGCACCAGAAATACTAATGGTTGCTATACAAAAAGAGAAAAAGCATTCAAAGTTAATAATTAAAGAAAGAATTCTTTCTGATAAACGAACTATTTGAAGGAACATTGATAGCAGTAGTAGATGATGTATGTGGATGTAATTTCAGTACCATTTGACCATGAAGAAGATTAAAAATACGTAATGTACCATCATTATAACCGGCAACAATCGATCGAATAGTTGTTCGAATATTTTTTATCGGACTTGTAGTCACCGATGTATCAGTTGTTGGAACAATAGAATTATCCCATGATGTCAAGCAAGTGACTTTCTTATTATAATAAAACAAAAAATGGTTCAATACATGTAATCTATCAAAAGGCAACTTACTAATCCATTAGCATCAAAACGAAGAATTTCATTTCGATCTTCTAATTGAAAAATTCTTATTGTACCATCAAGACTACTTGTAACTATATGAGTATCTTCAATAGGTATGACACCAGTGATACGATCTGTATGTGAAGCAACAAGACGAGTTTTACTTCGTTCTGTTGTCCAACAGATATACCATAATGACCCACATGATGTGCCAACAATACCCATATCAAATATATCATCAAACGATCCACTAATAATTCCATCGTCGAGTTGAAATTCGTCTTGAATGGTTAAACCATAATTTCTAGGCAAAGAGAAAAAAACAAATTTTCTTTTTCTTTCATACTAAGATCGAATTGGCGGAAAAGAAAAACGCCGAAATGAAAAAGTATAATTAATAAAAGTGTCGAAGAAAAACTGGTAGAAGAAAAAGTTTGAAAAGGAAAACGTAGAATGAAAAAGATGTATATAGGTAACGAAATTTATTTTTTGAGTTGGTATTGGTTGTTAGTGGGATAAGTTAAATTCGTTGTCCTCGTCGTCTATAGCCTATACTTGTTTATTGTTAGCATATACCATATATATAAATCAGCCTGGCGAGAACAACTAACAAGTAATTTTCTCTTCAATCGTTGGCAATGGACAGTGAAATATCATTTTCTTAACGACTAATAAAGGTAAACCATTACTAGTGTTTAACCAATATATGTTTATATGCAATAAAACGTCCTCATCAAAAAAGTATTGGGCTTGTATTGAACATAGATGCGACGTATATGTGCACACCAATTTAGAAAATAAACTTTTATTCTTCTTTAAAATTATCAAAAAACTCAATTTTCAACATTTACCCTTTCGGCTTTTCCTACTTTTTTCATTCGACGTTTACAATTTCTGTATTTTCCCCTTCTGCGTTTTCCTTTCTGCCTTTTCCACCAAACCCATTAAGATACTACTTACGAATCGTTATTCTTTGTTTGTCCTAAATTGACTTCAAGATTTTCTATATTCCATAGTCGTAAACAACCACTTGCTGAACCTGTTAATAATTTATATTTCATGGCTGTCATATAGCATATTTCATTCGAATCAGCTTTCCAATGAAGAAGACATGAATTCGTACGCGTATTCCAACATGTTACGAAACCACAATTAGTCGAACAAAGAACAAGCTGAGAATTCGATATTAAATACACGCATGAAGTTATTTCACATGGAAGTTTTGCATGCTCAGAAATTGATGATGGAACATATCCATTGACAACTTGCAATCGAACATTTGTATCATTGGTTTGTTCGACAATCGTACAAAAACGAATACAACCATTTGAACAGCCAAGACAGAATTCATTTGCACGCGCGGAATTCCAAGCAAGACAATTCATATAAGATGATGGGGATGACTCGTCTTGCCAATTGAGTAAATTCGTATAATCATGTGTTGACCATAGAGTAAGCATCGGTTTTCGATAATCACCGATAGTAATAAGAAAACGATCATCTCTATAAAATTGAAAATATTCTAATTAGTGTTGTCGTCAGGATTACATTTTGCTTACCTTGAAAAAGCCATCGATTGAATCGCATGAACTGATTGATGAAGATATAATTTTTGATGAAGCATTTTTATATCCCAGATAATAATCTTCGTTTGTAATTCATCTTTATTGGTTAATGTTGAACATTGTGCACTGGCTAAGATACTAACATCATTTGATAATGTTAATGTTGAGATTTCTTCAGTGTGTCCTAATTAGAACAAAAAAAAACAATCTTATGGATAAAATCATAAATAAAAAGTATATCTACCAGTTAGAATAGTTTGATGATTATTATTAAGATTTTCTACAATAACATTACAACCAACGCTATAAGCAAAAAATCCACTATGTGCATGCCAAGCAAGATTTTCTCGGCCATTGCCATTGTAGCCAATGATTGATCGAAGTTTCAGACTTTCTTGATTAACTGGTGCGACATAACGTTTCTAAAATTAAACATGTATTCTTCTACAAACTGAAAAAAATGGTTTCTTTTCTGAGTGCTGTACGTAGTTCAAGCTTTTTCGATTTTATCCATTATAAAAAATATAAAATTCAGTCATATTTAATTAATTGGTTTTCCCCCTGTAGATAGCATAGGTGGTTTTTCTTTGTCTAGCAATAATAAAAATTACTTTAGCCAAATGTGAATGATTGACTCGTTGAATAAAATGGCGTCGAATTGCTGGTGGATTATCGGTTTGTTTTTTGGATGATTTCTTATTGTTGGTTTTTCTGGAAACAAATCATCAATGAAAATTCTTAATGAATAGAAATTTCTGAATTACTTTTGTCCTTGAGGTACATTTGTATTTTTATCAATTTCAGAATTTGATAACGATCGGGTAATAGCTCGAGCTGTATGACCATTGTTTTGTTGAGAATATTGAAATGGTTCAGGTGGATTTCTTGGTTGCCCAGTATTATCCAGTATCGATAGAACAGATGGGACACGTTCAAGCACTGAAACAAAAAACAAAAACTTGGTTAGAAAAAAATCTTTCCAACTATTTTTCATAAAATTACTTTTTGACGGTAAAGTAGATTGTGTAGTACTGAAGAAATTAAGTATGAATTTAAAAAAAAAATTGATTATAAATAAATATTTACTTTAATTGCCCTGGACGTGGTGTAGTCCAAGCGAGTACATCCCAAATAAATATTGAATCTCCAATACTTACAAGATGCATATTATCATCAGTAAAAAACACTTTTTGTATTGGTTCTGAATGGCCAACAAAACTCTTAATAAAAATTGAATTTTAACTTTAAGTTTTTAATATTAAGTAAATTTTTACTTGGAAATTTGCATCATCCCAAAATTTAATCATATTATCACCACCCGTAACTAAATACTGACTATCTGACGATAGAGTCAAGCAATCGAAAGTACGTTTGTGTATATTATTTATCTAGAAAATTAAAGAGTCGATTTTATTACGAGCGAAAAAAACTCTAAATTTCAATTTTTAAATCTTACGATATTAAGAAGTTTTCCTGTATAGGAATCAAATTTAAGTAATTTAAAATTTGTTGTTGCAACTAATAATTGTCGATTTGGCGCAAAACGTGCAAATAAAGCGGCTTCTGACGATGTTATCGATCGTCTATCATTGGTAATCAATGTACAACTACTTATATCAATTCGAAGTGTTTGATTTAAACTATTGGTTTCAACAATTGTTACAACATATTCTGTTGGTCCAACGTATGCTGTATGCTTACCATCGGGACTTATAGATAATATCATGGTTCCTTTTTGCGATGTTGATAAAGCTTTGGCAACTGTACGCTGTAATTTATAGCTATCATTCGCGTCCAATAAACATAAAGTTCCTTCTTCATCACTACTTATTAAACGTCCACCATTATGAGCATAGAGCAAACCAGTAATACCTTTTGTATGATGTCTAAGAACAAAGAAGAATAATTATGTTAACCAGTACGATTTCATTTGTACAGATGAAAATAACTCAATTATCAAAATTTATAGTAGTGTTTTAAAACTCTGTCGATAGACAGAATCATCATGTTTTTGATGTCCATTTTTTCTCGCTATTAAAAATCCTCATGTAACTTACGTAATTTCCGCTGATATAATTGATGTATTCAATTCAAAAACTTTAATTGTTCCATTATCAAAACCACAAGCAAATATTTGTCGGTTTGGCGCATACGTAACAACAACTGGTGTTTCACGTTCAGCAGTAAACTCTGATAATTGTTTACCAGTACGAAAACACCATATTCGAATAGTCCCATCGTGTCCGACACTTATCATTTGTTTTCTTGTATCATCATAATCAATATCTGTTACATTTTGTGTATGTGCACGTATTAAATTCGTATGTTCCTTATTGACAAGATTTAATACTCCAAGTGAGCCAGACACTGTTAAAATTAATATACGTGTTTGATCGTGTGATGTTACTAAGCCACATATAGCTTGATCATGTTTGGCTTCGATATAAACTTGAGTGAAATCATTGGACCAAACACGAACATATCCATCGTTCGAGCCTGTTATGGAAAAATTACTGGTACATGTAAATGCACATATACCAATCGATGGTCCATTCGCCATGGTTATTTTATCGGTTGAACCGTTCGAACGTTTTGTAGGTAGTAAACGATGAATTTTAACTACACGCCTTTCGTCATACAATAATTCAATTATGTGACCACTTTTTGATGAAACATATACAACTAATTCATTCAGTTTATTATTTGATGAATGTTCAAATTGTAAATCTGTATATTCCAATTGTTCAATGTCGTCAACAGATATACTCATCGATTTTAAATCATTACCATTTTTCATACGCCAAAAACGGATATTATCGGAGCCAATCGAAAGAAATCGAGTTGAGTCATACGGAACAAAACGGATATGTGATATCGAAGCATCTGTTGTTGATCGACATAGTAGATCAATAGAACCTTTATGTGCATTTAATGTATTATAAACGCAAACAATAGTACGCGATTGTTGTGGCTGTTCACCATGGCCAACAACAACCAGTGTTGAAGATGAATCAGATAAATTTCGAATTCCAAAATCAAGTGCATGTAAATTACTGGTTCCTGGTACACGAACAACACAAATACAACGACGAGTTTCAAATTTCCAAAGACGAAGAATACCTAAAATTGAATAAAAATGTATAGCTAGTGCTGTTTATACGCTGGGAGATTGTGCAATTTTTTTTTTGTTTCTATGCAGAAGCGCGTGATTGGTTTCTTACCACTGGGTCCAGTCTGTGTTGTTGCCAATAGTGAAGAATTTCCATTGAACGCAATCGCACTAACTTTATCTGTGTGGCCAATAAAAAACCATTGTTGTTGAGTTTCAACATGCATCTGCACGACAATAGCATTCGATGGGTAAAGTACATAATTACCATCTTGTGTCCATAATAAACTCGTTGAACTACTTATACGATTACCCAGACCAATAACAGTACGTAAACGAAGTATTGGATCAGGTAGATGAGAGAGTTGCGAACGATCAGTTGTAAGCGCAAGATCGAAATTAAAATCATCATTTATTGAATTATTCGATGGTATCGATTGTGGATTAATGAAAAGATGAATACCATCATTATTGTGATTTGTTGAAGTCGAAGATTCAGGCATTGTAGGCAATGATGGAAAGCCATCAATAGGTTTAATACTTTTCTGCCAATTGTTCTAAATAAAATTTGACAGAAATTTTCTTAGATCTTTTCGAGAGAAAAAAAAATATATATATATACTTGATTATCTCTTGGTGAAATAGTATTTTGTATTGAATTTGTAAATGATTGATTCATTGTATCATCAGTTCTACTGGAGTCTCTTGCTGAGTGAACTTGAACACTACCTATTTTGCTCGAAAGATCATTTGAATTTTCATCTATTATTGATGATGACGAATTTGGTATCATAATAAAATCATATTTCTCATGCCATGATTCATCTTTACCAACAGGATAGGATAATTCTCTTGGTAATGCACGATTACTACTTTGTTTCATTTTCTGATTCGATAATCCTGAATCGTAGAAATACTTCGACGAAAAACAATTCTTCACCATCATATTACCACATAATTGGAATGATTTAATCATATGATAATGTTGATTCGTCATGTAAGTTAATAGTATTGATTCTAAATCAAAACATAATACGGTCCAATGCATAGTTGTATTGGGCGATGTATATGGAAATTGAATGCTGGTTTGTGTTACTTTAAATTCACGGTATAAATTTGATAATGATATACGTACAAGATGTTGTTCATGTGTAAGAATATCAATGTGAATAGAAAAAAACTTATCAAATATTGGACGAAATAAGGCGTAAAATAAATGACCCGTTAGAGCAAGAGTTTGATTGGATGATTGAGCTGGAAATTGAATATAATTATTTGCTGGGACAAGACCGCGTATACGAAATACCGTTGATTTTAACTCACGATCCTAGTTATCAAAAAAATTAAATAAATAAATATATATATATGAGTTTTTGTGCCTGTAAAATGATTATCAAAAAAAGATATCCTACCATAAGAGCAGTAACATCGCCCTGTTTGGTACATTTTTTCGTTGAACCAATATCGAAATGTTTGAAAATATTCACATAAGGATGTTGCCATGTACTATTGTTCATCTTATTTCTTCTTTTTTGAAGATTGAAGATTGTCTATAATTCTTTCTTTTCTAAACTACCATGAGTGACGTACTATGGAAGAGAGGCCACCTAGCAAATGATGATTATATCAGTGACATCTAGAATTTGTCCTGTAGAGGATATTATATTTGAAAAGAAAAACATGTGATCGATCTATCGATCGTTACTCATTTAATTAATTATAATCAACGATCACATATGACATTCTTAGGAGTAACTTCAAATCGATAGCTTAATAAACATTTGCAAATTCTTTTATTTTTGTAATATGAATATGATGATTTTGAATATAAGTACAAATAATTTATTGAGTGTATCAGTGTCAGAATTATTCATACATGTCCAAATCAATGGAAAACATTATTTCAAGTCAATATTGCATTTTATTTTTGTTTACACATTACCCTTTCTATCGCAATAATATTTTTGTCTGTACCCGGGTCGTGGCGGGAAACGACCGGAAATCGCTGGAATGTGGAAACAGTATTCCGGTCGTAAATTTTCGGATTTTTTCCGGTGGATTCCGGTCAAGTTCCAGCGACTTCCTGTGTTTTCCTCTGGAATACCTTGATTTTTCCGCATCTTTCCGGCCGGTTCCTGCAGTATCCGGTGACTGGAACGATCGACCTGGGTATCTATGGTAAATGACTATTGTATTATCTTTCTTAGTCGTTACTCATCATTGATGTATGCCGAAAATTACATCACTTCCTGAAAAATAAGATCACTCTATCAAATAAAAATATAAACATGCATTGTATTGTTGGTGGCATGCAGATGAAGCATTATCGATAAAAAAAAAGGTGCCATTTTCATCTTTCTGTGTGAAATGTCTACTGAAGATGTGATGCTTACATTTTCAGTAAATACTAGATGTTTGATACGACCATTTCTAACTGTATTCATTATGCGGGGATCAGTTGCAGCTGGTGGTTTGCATAGGTATAAACAACACAACATGAATCAATATACAATTAAAAGCTGTATACTAGTGCTATATTCGTACCAAACTCAGTCTTGTCCAAGTTGCGATGAAGACTTATACTCGAGTGACGAATATTATGATGAACAATTTGACGTTGGATATTATGTTTCGAGTGGAGAATATATTTCCAATGCCATTAGAACTTACAATGTTCGTGAGCCACACCCGGATCAGCAGGTACTTGATTTGAGATCTTTTTCTTTTTAAAAATATTGGCATTCAATGCACTGATATTTAGAACGGCAGTAATTACTCATGTTTCTATAAAGAAATTGATCTAACTTCAGTCTATTGGAGTTTACCAAAGGAAGCAGCTTTTTTAATAGAACTTTGCATCGGTTTTCATTTATTTGCTGCTCATTGTGCTGCTTTTTTACCACATGATGAAAGTCGCAGTTTAGGTACCAAAATATGAGAAAATGTTGCAATACGGAGCGCAATATTAGTCTGCGTTGGCGTAATATCGCGCTTCAGTGGACATAGCGGAGCGCTAAAAGGGGTCACAGTGCGATCGCAGTAGCGGTGCAATAACGCCGTTATTCAATCTTTATCGACGACATGGGTAGACAATAGAGAGATATAATTCAACGAATCATTGGTAAGGTTATTCAGGCATATTCTAATTATTAAAACCATTATTTTTCTGCACAATAATGTATGTACATACGCGGGTTCATGGAAATTTCCAATACAATGATACGTGTCTATTATTTATATCGAATTAATATTGTTTTAACTTCATTCGTTATTATTAACCATTCCCAGGTCGAGAAACCCCACACCGAGTACAAGTAGCAGTTTATTTTTTCAATTCGGAAATGATCGATAAATTCTCGTGCCTTAAGAAGCCAGCAGATAAATTTATATGTGGACCATGTATGTGGGCGTGGGTGTGGGCACCTCTAATACCACTAATTATATGGGGTTTAGTTAGTGCTAATTCGTATAGAGAAAAACAATATGAACGGAGTCAGTATACAAATACAAGCTGCCAATTACTGAAATATTCGTACTCAATTGGCTCTTGTGAAAATTGTGGTGAATATCAATGTTACAAATACAAATGTTATAATGAACAATTTGATGTTTTGTATTATGTTTGGTGGGGAAAACATATTTACGCCACAATTACAACTAACGATTCTCGTGAACAGCACCCGAATCAACAAGTACCAAACTTCAAATCTTCTTCTATCACAAAACTATGAATCCTTATGTTTCAATATTTAGATCGGCAGTACTTATCAGTGTTTCCATAAAAGTGTCGGTGTTACTTCCGTCAAGTGGGATCTGCCCACCGGAAAAAGTTTCTTAATTCAATTTTGGGTCGCTGTTACATTGTTTATCATCAATATTTTGCTCATTCCCATGATTTGCCGTCTGCAATATATGGAATACCAATGAGACTTGTATAAACCATTAATTTATAACCAAGAGAAACAATAGAATTCTTTTATTCGAAAATTTTTCTTCCAGAAGTATACCACGATTTATTTTGCTAATCAAATTGTTCATTTTAAAGTCAAAATAATCTTTTCTATACAATCCTAATCAGAATTGTTGTGTGCATCGCTAGTTATAGAAGATTCTAGAGCAGTTTCATGTAACATAACTTTGTTTTACAAGAAAAATTTCAGTGTCTTATATCAGTATGACTGGCTCTCTTGAACAAATTTGATATTATTATTGATCTATCAAAGGAGTTATTTATTATATGCATGTATATATTTAAAAAAAAACATGGGTTTAACACTATGCGCAGACATAGCTACCCAGTCAGACAAGCAACGAAAAATAACGCGTAAAAACGAATAAAAATCGCAAAAATGTGCGGTTTTTATTCGTTTTTATGCGTTATTTTTCGTTGCTTGTCTGACTGGGTAGATATTAATCTGCAGTAGCTGTTTCATCTTCTTCTTTGATTGTATCGCTTTTATTACGTTGAATAAGACCGTATTTCAAACATACTCCAACAATATCGGAAGCAATTTTACGATTCTAAAATAAAAGAAAAGAAATCTCATTTTACATAATCAACTGGAAGTTTAATAATTCTATTCTTTAAAATTAAAAGATATATCATTAACGTTATTTTTTCCAAATTGTCATGCTTTGCTGCTCACAGCAATCAAAGTCGAGTATGAAACGTCCTAATTATAACCGTATCATAATTGAAATCATTTTTATTTGCCAGAAAATATACAAAGTTACTATATATTTAGCCTTGATTTACTGTAATTCGAAACGAAGAACACTTCGAAAAAAACCGTGAACCATATCAACATAAAAGGAAGAAAAAATACGTAAATATGTATTTTAAATGCATTCTTTCTGTACCTTAGGAGACTAGAAGAAACAAATTACGAAATAGGTCTAACTCATACACTAAAACATTACCTCCAATGGTGCCAGTCTTCAAACCGGTTTATGAAAAATATTGAAAAAACCCTTCGTGTTCACAAACTAAAGAAATCTCGTTCAGTAGATCAAATAATTCTGATGATTATTAGAAGTGAAAGAAATAGCTAGGCTGTACTAATGTGCCAGTGTACTAATACTTAAGAGATGACTAGATTTAAAATGAAAACTGGTTAGAATCGATAATTTAAACATACCTTTTCATTGACTAGTCGATCATCTTTTATTTCTTGAATAGCAAATAGAACGTCCATTAATTCAGTTTCTACAACACGTACTGCAAGTTCTTTATCAGCTTTCACTATATTGCGAACTATATAAAGAGCTCGAAACTGTAAATCAAGATTGTTACAAGCACATAATTGTTTAAAAATTTCAAAAAATGCTTTAACCTAAAAAGAAGACAAAACATAAAATTATTCTTCAAAAAAAAAAAAAAATACAAACATCAAGCATTTTGTTACAAATAACTCGATTTTCTTTAATTAAATCATTCAAACGTTGACGTTCTTCTGCTTCTAAATTTAAATCTTTTATGTGTTCAATATCAGCTTGTAACGATGATAGAACAGCTAATGTTCCCATAGCTGCTTTTATTAACGATTCATCGTCGCCACCACAATAGAGCACTAACAATTTAATGCGATCGTTCTCACCAGTAAAATTTTTCATAACCTTGTGGAGAAAAACAAATTAGAATGATCAAGTTAAAACAATCATCAATTGATTTACTTCTTCTTGAATCACTAAATTACACATACATTCCGTTGCAGCTCGTCGTAACATTGGATGTTCTTCAAACATATATTGTTCTATACTTGAAAATCCACCTTCTTTCAAAATGCGTTTTCTAACACTTTCACCAATACTGGCTAAATTTGTTACAGCCATCAAAGCTTCAAAATTTTCTAATGCAGTATGTTCGATTCGTAAAAGTTTTATTATTGGTCGAACAAGTTCAAGCATCTGAAACGTAAGATTATGTTTCGAATAAAAATCGATTCTAATGAATGACATACTCGTTGACCAGGAAAAGCAATTTCCGGATTTGTTGTTATAGTTATTTTAGCTAAGGCTTGAGTTGCTTTTGTCATACCAACAGACGTTCCTTCGAGAGCAAGCGGAAGTAATGCCTAAAACAAAAATAAAGAACTTTTTAGAAAATGAATCAGTCTACACATTTTGACTTCTACAAAAAAAAGATAATATTGAGGAATAATTATTAAACGAAACAGAAGATCTAACTAACGAATTATAGGTACAAGTGCCCACTATATAACTAATCTCTTACGAATTAAAAAAACTGTCTACTAGGAAACTTTCTTTGACATACTTTAGCTCCGCCACCAGCCACGATCGCTCCGCGATATTTTTCATTTTCACAAAGACCAAGAAATACTCTAAAAAAAAGAAATATGCATAACTTACGAATTTCATTTGCATTCCTACCGAGCTATTTGTTCTCGACAATTTTCACTTTTATGTTTACATAATTGTACTAGAACGGGAATGATTCCAGCTTCGATTAATTTTCGTCGGCGTTCATTAAAAAATGCTTTTTCATCCTACATAAAATCACATTGAATTCTATCCGCTATCTTTATTATTTAAATTTACTTTTGGGTGTTCTTTTGGTATATGTTGTTTAGCATAGGTAGCTAATTCCAACATTTCTTTGTCCGGCTTGTGTATATCATATGTATTGGTTAAATTAACGAGTATTGTCGTTATAGAATATAGAACATGTGCATCTGGACATTGACATAAAGTAAAAAGAGCTTTTAATGCTGCTAGATTATCTGCAAGTTCTTCTTTAACATCAGCATCCAGTGTTAGATAAGCTAGGCCATCGGCTGACCATCGACGAATATCAAAACTTTGACTCGTTGTTAATAATCTAAGAAAACAAATAATAGTTCAATGCACGATGAATAAAATTCTTTCTTTTTATATACTTGCAACATGCACGGCCAAGTGTTTGACATGAACCTTCTGCGACAACATTTGTACTTGCATCAGTACCTTTACTTGATGCAATTTTTGATAAACCCTAAAACATTAAGTATAAAAACTAAGCAACATTCTAGATTAAGTTCGCTACGTACCACAAGAGCAAGTACTCTAATATCTTCATTGGCTGATCGATAGAGATTTTTAAGAATATCTGCACCTTGCGCTAAAATACCAGCTGCTTTATCTTTTTTCGATGCTGATAAAACAATAGCTTCAACGGCAATACGCTAATTATATAAAAATGCAAGTTGAAATAGAATGAAAATAAAGTTTATTGCTAAAATTACTTCTTGCAATGAATCATTGGAACCAGCCATTTGTATCATTAAATCTACTAAATTTTGATTACCTAAGATTGCATTACCGGTCTCAAAAGGACCTTGTAAAAGAACAGACAAGACAGATATTGTTCGTACTCGTGATGCGATATCATCCTTTTCACGTAATGCTCTAAAAAAATAATAGAGAATTTAATCAATCGATTTTTTAATCTATCTCCGACCAAATCAACTTACTTAACAAATTCGATACATTCATTATTGAATTCTTCGCGTTCTTTATCTGAACATAAATCATTGTAGACAACGCTAAGTGCGCATGAGATGTACATTTTTGTTTGTTCTGTTATTGGATATGCTTTTTTATCATTATCAGGTAAGTTAGGCACCGTTGCTGCTACTCGGAGTACTTTGGGTACACCTATTCAAATAGAAAAGGCAAAAGTTTAAATACAACAATGTTCAATACTTAACTTGTAATTAATAAAAACAATATTTCCTACTTATAGAATTCATTTCCCCTTCCTCCTGTGTCTGAATTTCAATTCAGAATGACTGCTTTTTAAACCCGCTTATAATAAATAATTATTCGATTTTTCCCCGAATTTCTCATTAGTAAGTTCAATAAATACCTGAGACAATAAATTTACTAGTCCAATTACAACCATTTGCTCGGTCAACAAATTTCGCAACAAGATCAAGACAACAATCACGACCAATAGCTGGGCACGTTTTATCATCAATGAATTCAACGAGCATACGAAATATATTATTAATAAATTCAATTACAGGTTGATCTAAAATTTCAAATTCCTGTTGAATTCTACCAAAAACAAGTCAAGAAAAAAAACCCAATACCGAAGTTAAAAGGTACATTAATAGGTTTACGAATTTTTCGACGGTTTTCAAGATCACATATAGACATAATTATGTTATGAACTAAAATAGTTGTACATGCAGGAATCTCTGTATCATTCATTGCTAAACAACGACCCATCAATGGAACACCAAGTTTATTGTAGACCAATTCAGCCTAGAGAAAAAAATACTTGCGATTAGCATCTGTTGTAATTCTGAATTTTTTTTTCTAATAAATTATGAAATTAGAAGAACGCAAAGAGTCGATTGTAAACTGAGATTTTCTTCCATATATAATTCTTACTCGTTTATATGAATTTTTGACAATTGAAGCCAATACTCTTACAGTGCCAAGAATAGTAATTCGTTCGTTTGCTTGAATACATTCTTTTATTTGTTGTAGATCAGAATCATAAGCAAGAATTCCTTCTGCACCAGAATCTTCACGTGAGATAACAAGAAGATTGTTCAATGCCTTAAAGATAATAATAACGAATTATTTGAAGAAAAATTTTGCGTATATTTATTTACTGTTTCTTGATTTAAGTTTGTATTGATAGCTTCGAACATTTCTTGTATTTGAGATTTTATTTGTGTTCTTTGAGTATGCTTTAGAAAAAGAAGACGAGTTCAATTATTATTCTATTTCAGCTTTCATACTTTGTTTTCGGTACTATCACGTAATTTTCTTAGCAGACTATTTGTTTGTTCATCAGCTGCATTACCTTTCGGTGAGATTGATATTAAACGTTGTGCATCTGATATAGCTTCATTTAATCTTCCTAATCGTTCAAATGCACTCGAACGACGATATAAAGATTTTTCATCAGCAGGCGTATATTCAAGAGCTGGAGTTTTTAAATGACAAGAGAAAACAATGTATAAATTTAACGCTCCATTCTATTTTACCTCGTGTGGCATCTTCAATAGCTTCTTCATATTGATTTAAATGAATAAAACATTGTGCACGATTGCTGTAACATTTTGTGAAATCAGTTTTTGTTGTTTCAGATAATGGAAGATCAGCAAGAAGATTTATTGCGTCCGAATATCGATCAATTGCTTCTTGAAATTTGCCTTGTTTAAATACTTGATTACCTTGTTCGCGAAGTTCTCCGGGATTATTATTAGAAGACGAAGTCATTACTTTTTATCTAAAATGAATGAAATATTCAATTCAATTGTAATTTTTAAAAGTATTTTATGATGCTCGAAAACTTTAATGAAAACGCTTTTTATCGCCGACGAATTTCGAGCATTGTCCAGAGATAAAAAAAAGAATATTGAATGTGAGTAGACTATGAAACGATAGAAAATAAATGTTCCATGATCATAGAAATGAAAGCAGTAGAACAGATGAATCTAAGTGATGCCGTGGACGTGTCATAAAAATCTAGTGACTATCTATATCACCTACCTGGTTCAAAAATCATAAAAGAAAAGTCATTTATTAATTTTTTTGTTTAAAGTTTGAAAATTATGACAAAAAATCGACTACAACCCTGAGTGAAATCCATTTTTATATGTCGATTTGAGATTAACTAAATGAAATTTTATAAGACGTATCCCATGCTTAATCATATAAAATGATGACTAATCTTCACTCAAGATACCCTAGAGAGAGAGAAAGAACTGTTTCATGAAGAAAAGGAAGTTAAGAATACATGAAAATTTTTGAAGCAATAAATATGTTCACCTTTTGATAGTTTCAACTTTTCTCTCTATGAGAAGCATGCAGTGTTTAGCAAAAATTGACTTGTAAACCAATAAGAATATATTTGTTTGTTTCAAACATTTCTAAGGCGTTAATCTTTTTTTTTCCGCTTGTTTTATTTGTCATTTTGTTTGTCCGGTATACAAATAATGCTTGATTTCTTCATCGAGACGAGAAATATCACACATAATTTCGTATTCTTCCTTTTCAACAGATATCGAATAATTTAAAATACGTGAAATAGATTTTCTATATTCTGATTCTCAACCATAGATATTCATTAAGGGGAGGGGAGGGGTCTTCTTTTTGATTCTTCAGTGGCTCGATGAGACGTGAAAAAGCAGAAAAATAAATTCTTACGGAAATACACTAAAGACTTTACATCTCTGCTGAAATTTGAGTCGAACAATCCTTAAAATAACCCAAATGAATGCTTAATGATCCTATTAATTCATTCTGGCTGCTTTTTTTGAACAACATTTTACTTCAAAAATAGTTAAACTATATTAAAATCAAAATTTCCGCCATCTATCGCTTAAAATTAGCTTTACAATCCTTATAAATCAAACATAAATAGATTCTAAACTCAATTTCATTCAAAACTTACTATCAAAGGTGGCGGTTTAACCTAAGAATAAATAAATAAGTAAATAAAAATGAAAACAGGTGACCAATCAGAATGATTGATGTCAAATAAACACATCCATTGACTCGATCGTTTATATCAAAACTTCAAATCATCATTATGGCCACATCATTTACGTGTATCAATGATCTTATTCGTGAGTATTTTCAATATCGTAATTTAACATCAACGTCACGTACATTCGATAATGAACTATCGAAATTACCTTTTGTACAATATCGTGCTGATCTTATTATTGAACGATTAACAATTCATATTCATCAATTTGAAATAAATAATTTAATCGATTATTGGACACAAATCGAACAGCATCTTTTATCAACACTAGCCATTGAATCTCAACGATTAATAGATGTATTTAAAAAAATTCGTATTAATCTCTATCGCTGTTATTTAATGCATGCAGTTCAATCATCAAAAATGGATAAAATAAATGAATTTTTTGAGCGTTTAACAAAATTTTTACAACAAACAAACGAATGGACAAAAGAATGGTTTACATTGCCATTCATTAAAAATCCAGAAGAAAACTCAATATTTCAAGTTTATTTTTCTAAACAATGGAATGAACTGTTTTGGACTTCATTACAAAATTTTTTATCTATAGCTTTCTATCAGTAAGTCGCCCATAGAAAAAAATGATCTTTATTTCATTTGTCTTTGTAGTATGTCTCAACCTTTAATGTGTTCTATGGATGAAGATAACTCTCAAACATTCACAGATTTAATCAACCTTCAATCGACAATACCAAAACCTTTAATACTATCATCTAGTGTAAATATAAAATTTATAACAAAAACGAAATTGTCTTTTTCTATTGAATAGAATATGAATCCATCGAAGATTTCATTCGCTGAAACATTCGAAGATGAACAATTATCTATGACTGAACAATTTCCTCAATCAAATGTAACAATATTTTCTAAATTACGAAGTAAATTTATGCCAACTATGAAACAAAATCAAGCTGCAACGTCTCAAAGTACCGATTGATTTTCTATGTTTTCATCAATAATGTGCCATTTTTTTTTGTCCAGATCAACTACAATCGTTATTGACTTGTTCTACAACAGATGATTCAATACGTTCATAAGTTTTATCATCCTCAAACAAATACGGATGTTTTCGCCTGATGAAGATGTACTCAACTAGCTCGAAAAAGCAATCCAACTTCGATTTAGATACATCATTTTGATGAAGAACAAGACTATTATGTGGTTTATTAATAGTGAACAACACAAAATTAGTCAGTGACAACAAATAGATCTGATCTTTTTATTTTTACTTTTGAATAAAAAACAAAGCAAATATTTATTTCATTACATTTTAAAACTTGAAATTTCCTAAATCGTCTGTCCATCTATTCTGTGAATGAACATCAATCTATCGAGTTAAGTGATAATAACAAGGATACGAAATCATTCAATGAAACGATTTTGTATTGAGTATCAGTTAACTATTAATAATTTCGTTTGATTTTATCGTGAGATATGGTAATTTAAATTAAAAAAAAAACTCTAGTCGTAAGGGACTACCCAGAATCATTTATTAACTATGGTTATGTTTCAGCACACCCAAACCGTATTATTGATTGACAATGTGCAATGTAATGATAGTTGATCTGATCATTTTTGTTTTAAATAAGAAAGTTGACGAAGTTTTGGAATGCTATATACCAGAGACGTGCACAGGACAAGATTTTTCGTCCTGTCATTACCTGTCCTGCTGGCTACTTTGGTCCTGGCGGGCGTCAGAGCAGGACAAAAATCGAAATCTCATCCTGTCCTCCAGGACAGGGCAGGACAGCAGGATCGCCCTGTCCTGTGCACGTCTCTGCTATGTACTGTGTTCAGTCTCTATAGCTGATATAGAAATGAATACTATAGCGAAGAGTAGACAGTTAAATACCAGCTCCTGAAGAACCATTGATTGTGATGTACATTCTTTCGAATTACATGAAATTATTAGTCTATTTTAATTAGCTTTGCATGATTTATTCAACAAATAAAGACCCACGATTCTCTGTGGACTTTTATCGTATAAATTAGATTGATTTTTGTTTCATAGATAATTTAATGCCTCGAAATCTTCTCAGAATGTCCATTATAATTTGTGATCATTAGTCGATAAATCCTGTCAAACATAAATATTTCAATTAATAGATCTGTTGACAAACAATACATGTAGAGATAATTTAAAAAATATGAATGATTTAGTCTTGCTTTTTAATGTGAATGGAATGGAACGAAACATAGAATGAAAGACAAGAAATATAAGAATGTTAAGAATGATAGCTATGTTTGAAGTGATAAGTCAATTGTTTGTTAATTAAATCTTCTTTTTTTAAAATGCATTGATTCGACATGGTCGATCGTCTAGAATCAAATAATTTAACATTAATTATACGAATAATATTCTTTGTTTTCGCTTTAGAAAAGGAGCAATGAGAATTCCACCTTTGCACTTTCTACAAGACTCCGGAAAAACAAACGTCATAAAACTTTGATGGCTATCGAAATAATATATTTACTTGATTTAGAAATTGGATCATTTAGTACTGGGACGAGTTGTTGCTAGAAAAATAAAAATATAATTTATTTTCATTCTTCAGCATTTAGAAAAACTTACTCCGAGTTGTTGGACGTTGAGTAGCTGATTTTGCTAATAAAAAGAAAACAGAATAGAAATTTTCAATTTCATTTATCTATTTACTTTTGGCTGCATCAGGATTTTGATTACTGAAACTTTCAACTCGTCGTGCGAGTTCATCTTTAAGGTCCCAAACACGATTGGCTAAATCACGGCCAAGCACCACAGCTGTTTCACTTAAACGATTTAGATGTTTAGGTAAATCTTTAAAAACTTGTTCAACCATAACACCTTAAAAAAGAAAATTTTCTTCAAAAATTTTTCTTTAATATTCGCTATACCATATTCCTTGCCATAGGGTTGTTTAAAATGATGACCGACTAAGTCAGGTAAGATCGTTGCTAAATAGATTAAAATAAAGTTTGTAAATTAAAATTAAATTTTTCTAACGTACCAACAACAACACCCGACACAAAAACAAATGTATAAACAAACATGGAACAACAAAATGAGCGTCCTTTTGGCTTGCTTGGAACTTTCTTTGCTGCTTGTTCATTCATATATGATTTCGCGTTTTTTGTGCCGTCTCTTGACTAGACACAAAGAAAAAATTATTAATATTTTTGCAGAAAAAAGATTTATGCGAAATTTCCTACCATGATGCTGTGATATGAATCGATGAATAATAAAAATCTGAAATGTTCAACAAAGCAATATTAGGGCATCAAACTATCCAATACATTTCTTCTCTTTGTTTAACATTTACACGTAGGAGATTGAAAGTGAACTGAATTTTCAACGAGAATAAAATAGCGACACTTAAATCTATGGTTATTAATGATAACCAATAGAAGACAAAAACGACGAATGAATGCTCCTCCTCCCCGCTCGTCGTTTCTTGTACGTTATCGTTAATTTTTTTTATTTTTGGTTGCAATCGTTCTGATTCGATCTGCCACGTGTCAACCATGTTGCGTATATTTAATCTGTTATTTCAGCTGTAAAGCTGTTTTTAATTGAAATTTTTAATTTCGCATGAAAAAAAAATGAATTTTATTTTTTAAGGATATTTATTCGAAGAAGAAATTTGAAAAAAATCGTCTAATCCTCTTTTAAATAGCTCATAGAAAAAAATTTTTTTTTATCGCAAATAAATTTTCCCTAATCAGAAGTAGATGAAACAGACGAAATGTTAAACAGAATAATTTTTCTTTCGAAAATGCACCTAAAATCAACTCTCTTCTTTATTCTCATTCTACCTGTTTACTGGTAAAACATGTTACATACAACACATTAGTTGCAATTTCTCTCTTACAATACTTGAAATGTAATTGTTCGCTGATCAAAATAAAGTGAAGATCTTGATCAAGTAGTTTCACCGTATTATTATCTTACATGGGGCATATTCTGCACCTTGAGACATTCACATCACTATGCTTCGTTCTTTTTGAAAACGTTTAGTTATAGTTGTATCATAATATCAACACGTATCATTATGAATGATATGTGTGACATAAGTTGATCATAGGCAAGTAACAAAATATTAATTACTGGTCCTTTTCTTCATCTGTGACGCAAAACTGCGTACGAGTGATCGATTTTTGGTTGATTGGACTTCATTTTTATAATTTTCAGGCGAATAACATTAAGCATGCGGAGAAGCCATTTCTGAGTTTGTTTTGTGAATAAAAAATCTCGACAAAATGCATAGTTTGAAAAGAATCAATTTATTTTAAATAGGCAGTTTACCTGGTTGGTAAGAAATTTACTTGTTCTATGCAAACGAGAGTAACCTGAAATGCTGCGTTGCGAAGAAATAAACTTCGGTAGTGAAGCAATTCTCTTTTCAGATTTCAATGACTCTATGTTTTGAATGATTCTATTGGTCTGAATCTCATTATTATAGATCATTCATCATCTATAATAACGTGGAAAAAAAACCGACAAAAATAAATCTTAAAGTAGACCAATGTATTGAAAGTTCGATTTGTTATTACCGATCAAAAGTGCAAAGATCAATTTTCAACTAGAAATTTCGTATGGTTGAAAACATCTGTTGATTAAACATCGATGATCAAGAACTATTTGTTAAAATAGTTTATCTCGTTCTAGTTTTTGTTGCATTTGATGCTAGTATCAATGTGGATTCTCAAAATAAATAATTAAAACTTTATTAAAATTTATTTTCTAAAATCATTTCAAATTAAAGTTATACTTTTTGAACGGGACGCGAAGCAAAGCATTTCATATAAGAGTACAACGTGAATACCGTTTAGTTCGTTGCGAGTTTACTTTTGTATTACTTTTTCAACATCGTATTTTGCGACATGATTCTTTAACAATCGGGAAGTCGTACAACTTTCATATATTGTGCGGAAATTCCATGTTCCCCTATGAAACTTTCCTTGTTCAAAAATTCGATATTATATTCAAATTGTTAGCAACAACGATTAAATTTAAAGCTAGGCTTAGTTTCATTTCGAGATAATGAAACAATAAGTTGATAAAAGTTACACTATACTTTTGTTTTGGTTTAGAGAAAAATTGTCAGATTTTACCCGTGTGATTCAAACCGCCGGTTGACTGTTCTAAAGGTCGAGCAGCAGAGGCCAATTCTCGTAGAGAAAACTTGAAACCTCCGGAACATAAAATCAGTACTCCGACCAGAATTTCTACCCGAACCTGAGAATTGGAACTTGATGGACAGAAAATGTTGATTTATATAGTAATAATATTGAATGAGTTTTTTTTTAATTTTCGTTTGGTTTATTCAGAACACCGTAAACTTATATATAAAGAGTAAAATAGTATAATTCAATAAAAATAAATGTTTTTATTTATCATGGACTACTCGATGAAGTTGAATCCGGTTAGAAGAATTCATTTATAGTTTTAAGAATACCCTTAAATTCCGGGCCTCGATGGGCTCTAGCTGCATCACTGATATTCTTTCTATTCCCCTGTTCTATTTGTATAATCATTCAGCTGGAAGTCTACAATGAATGAACAATCTAAGGAGAATACATTGGTTTCAAGTGCAAAACTCTTCATTTCTCACGACTAATAGATATACAAAAGTCCTTGATGAGTTAGTTAGCTACTTCTTAATGACTATGTTTAGTGCCACCTTGTACCAGTAGGTAATAAATCGAAGGTAAATCCACATGCGTTGAAATTATTTGATAATACTATTTTTCTATATAAACCACTTGATATATNCTCTAATATTTGAAGTATGAGTTATACTTTCAAAACTACATTTATACTGTTTTCGACAATTCAAACTCAAAGGGGGAAAATCGTATTTCTGTATTTTCATATTTCTATCTATTTCGAAAGTATTTCTAAGTGTTTTTACGAATTTCTATGTATTTCCAATTTATTTTTACATATTACTGTATTTCTGAAATACATATACATACGTAGAAATACCGAAATTTGGTGGTCAAACTACATGAAAAGACCCGCCGGTTTTTTGCCAGTTTTAGCATTATTATAGGCCGGCCGGTAGCTGGCCGGTCCGGGCAGAAAAACTCGACCGGTTCCATCTATGACCCTGTATATTGTCTGACAATATGTAGTTTTCTGCTAAATATACAAGACACTAAATCATTCTCTTTGTGTCCACGTCACATTAATATTTATTATAATTCAATGCACATAAAATTATATCTGCTCTCTAATTGCACATATGATTGATAGAACATATGTTGTTTATAACATAGGGATTTGTTATTTGTCTCATAGGACTAGAAGTAAGTGTCTATCGATCAACATAAGGCGATGCTCATTTACTGCATTATCACAGTGTGCGGTATAACCATCTGAAAAAATAATATTGCGCCTCAAGACTTGTCAGCAGCGAACAAAAAATCGAACTTTCTTTTGGCCACATCAACGATATGTAATTTCGTTTTCGAATTCACCATTTCCATGTTTATCTGCCAATAATTGAATACAACTAAACCCGTTATATATCTACCCACTGTGATATATTTGAAATTCTATTCGATTGCCATAAAATCGATACAAGAGTTAGTGTAATTAATTTCAATCTTGAATGAATAACATCACAATGTTTACTTTTGCCTTTATAGAGGACATCATATAAAATATAGCATAAAGTTATGTGATATAAATCGATACTAGACAAGTTGCTAAAATGTTAATAGCTGATCGTTGCCCTTTTCTCATATAAGCAAGACAAGTACCACATACTGGCTATTAATAATACTATTTATTTGCGTTTTATTTTTGATTTTTCAGGTAAATAGCGTTCAACACGTATGTAAAATATCAATTTTTTTTGTTTGTTAAGAAATACAAAAAACAATATCATGTTTAAGACATGACGTTCTAGTCCATGCGGGAATAGTTCATTTGTATCAGCCCGTAAACAGACGTAATTATACTGAAAAGCTTTTCTCTAATCACAAGAATAAAGGCAGCCCAAATTTTGTAATAAACGGAATATTTTTATTTTATATTCAAAATCGGCAATTTCTGCATTCTTTTATATATATATATATATTATGCTTGCAAAACAAGTAAATAGACTCAACTTCAACTATAAACAGATTTCTTTGTAGAATAGTCTAATGAAAAATAACCCAATTGACTGATTGCATAGCAAAAATTGTAACTAATGATCGTAAGCACTGCCTCCTTTCCTGTCTCGGACTTAGCCAAGTACATTGGAAAAATTGCCATGAAGTCGCGTAATGACTGAGCTAAGAAAATTGAAGGAAACCTATTTATGATAATTAAACATCTGGCAAAACATTCAGTGAAGAAAAGATTAGAATTTAAAGATTCGCAAGAAACCTCAATTATCAAAGTTTGAAAAACAAAATGAAATTTTTCTTCTGGAATAACTATCGATTGTATGTATCATTGCATCTTGTAACATGTTCAGTTGTATATGAATTTTTGACATTTCCTTTTCTCGTAAATATCATAACGATCCCACTTGTTCTTTTCCATAAATATGGAAGACATCTACAATGGCAATGTTTTGTCTCATCGACATTTATCAAAGGAAGCCAGCTGATACAATGCGCCACAAGCATTTGATTGCCGCATATATTTTTACTTGTTTACGACGAATAACGATAGAGAAAGAACTCGTAAAAATGAACATGTGATATAATATCGTCATCTAGTTAGCATAGAAAACACATTCTGATATTTTTCTTGTTCTATACCAGTCGTTTATCGAAAGCAACGATACATCGCCGCCTTTATATTTATATTTTGTTGTCGCACTTTTTTTTCTTGGTGCTGCTGTTCTTATTCTTCGAGACCATTTCTCTGTTCGTGCCCACTAATTATCGTTCTTGATACACATAATCCTACCCTTGTAGTTCTATATATGTGTATGCATAATGATGTCTTCGACTTCTTCATTATCAAAAGAATTTCTTACGGAAAATCAACAACAATGTTCTGATCGCCCGAAAGCCATATTGACTCCAATTATGAATCTCGATCGTCAGTCACAAGGTCAACTGCCATCATCTACAACTCACATAGTTGTGCCGAGAACATTTTATCGATCGCAAATTACACCTGATCGATTCGATAGTTTAAGTAACAATCGACAATATATACAAAGTCCACAACAACGTCGATTTTCAGCAAGTCAAATAAACGGTGATTCAAAAGAAATAGTTACCATGCTTTCCCCACAAGCTTCTCTCTTAGTTTTGCTTGTTATTGCATGAAATATGAAACGTATGTGTTGATTTTCCTAAGATGCACCATCCGATAGATTAGTTACACTTGAACCAATCTATTAATTTTTCAATCTCATCTATGACTAATAATCATAATAATACATTAATCAGTACTGTGTTTATTCCAAAAGCCTATTTGTCAATTTCATGTGGACGACAGACAGATTTTCTTATTCAGTTGACGATAATCTCGTAAGTCTATGTGTAATAATGATGGTGTGTTTCAATATGCGTTTTGTTACCCTGCTGGAAATTATTTTTTTCACTTCATATAGAAATCAAGGATGAAAATCGAAAATTTCGATGATTACATGTAGGTCATTGCTAAAAAATGATAAAACTTATTTCTTACCAACATAGTCAATCATCAAATAAGAGAATAATAAATGGTTATATATTACGTACGAAAGATGTACCTTGATGAAGCCGTCAAGGCTGTTATTCTACGTATTTTAATTGGCAGTAAAGTGCTATTTTGTTTGTATAACTTTGATTAAACAAAGAAGAAAAAACAATAGTTTTTCTCTTTTTTTTTCAAATAAGATAAATAATCTTGGCATTTTATTTTTTTTTTGTGAAAGGTTCTTCACTTTCGAACTCTTACTTGTCTGAACAAGAACGATCTGTACCAACGATTTCAATGCATTCGCAATACCATCAACAACAACAACAACAATATCGACCAACAACTAATAATAAACGCGGTGAGTCACAATGATTGATCATATGGCGATTTATTTAAAACAAAAAACTTTAGTTAAATCTAATTTAAACAAGAATATTTTGGTTTATAGCTGTAATAAGTATCAGTTCAACGCAATCACCGTTAATCAGAATAGCTTCAGCTGGTACACCAAGTCGATCGGAAATTCGTGTGTTATCATCGCCGACGAAAAATAAATCAACTCTACATGAAATTTGTATTTCTCGACCAGATTCACCATCAATATTGATTAATCGTACTGGAATTAATCAACCAATACAATTTACCAGTAATACAAACACTAGTACAATTACGCATGGAAATGGAAATGCTTTCCATATTTCAGTTGGAGCACCAACCAATACAATTCAACTTGATAATAATAAACATAGACAAACACCAACAGTATGTGAAAAGAAAATTTAAATAAAACGACGTGATTATTTTTTCTTATTCTTTCTTAAGACGTTTCATCAAGGTGAAAAACGTCGTAATTCTAATGATAATCGATATACATCAAATATTGTTGCGAATCGATTCAAATCATCAATGGCTTATACTAGTCTGAATAATAATAATTTTGATCGGCCGTCCATCAGTGCGAATTTACCGCCGGCTTCAAGTTCGATTTCTTTACCCCAACGCAACGGACACGCGATGAGAAAAGAGCAATCCGACGTTGATCATTTAACGAAATTACTGATGAAAAGTATGAATGTATCCAATGAACCAAATTTTTTTGGTTAGTAAAATAATTATTTTCGGAAAAAAATTGATCTCAACGAAATATCTATTATTTCAAAGGAATGTGTGCTCGATGTAACGATGAAATTGTTGGAGAGGAAAATGGATTGATAGCCATGGACCGAATGTATCATGTGTCATGTTTTACGTGTACGATGTGTGGATGTCGTTTACGTGGTATGCATTTTTATTCAATGGAAAATAAACCTTACTGTGAATCGTGTTATATTGTAAGTTGATTTAAATATTGATTGATTGATTGATTTGATTGTTCTTGTTTAGAATTCATTAGAAAAATGTGTGACATGTCTTCAACCGATTACTGATCGAGTATGTTTGCTGAATTATTTAGAAGGAGAAGGAAAACGTTAAGATTTTGACGACTGAAAAGTTAAAATTGAGACTAATGCTTATTTTTTTTCTTCTTCAAATGGAATTAGAATATCGTTCGTTGAGCATTTTATTACGGGAAAAAATGTTCATCATTGTCTAATAAAATAATAGTGAGATAGTAAGATGTTCCATAGGCACGTGCTTCAATCGCTTAGAGCATCGTGACTATCGTGTGTGACAATGCAGATATACCGCATGGCGTCGATTCGTAGGTGGTCTCCAATAGTAATTGAATATGTCAAAATGTTGTGCAAACTAAATACATTATTGGATCTGTTATTTACTCAAATGAAATCACTCGTCGGACTTGGTTATTTTTAAATGAACAGTGTGTGACACTCTTCGGATCATCAGAGAAACTGGCGTTCAAATTTTTTGGAAGAAGTTTTTGTATGCAATGAATCGAAAGCGCTCGCTCATCCTAATACACATTAGTGACTGATAAGCACTTTTGTTGTGCGAAAATCTTTCAGCATTAATGATATTCCGTTCGAATTTCTCTTGTCCAAATTCTTTGAATCCTTTATTTATATTTGCATTTTTTTCAAGATTCTCCGTGCAACTGGTAAACCTTATCATGCTCAATGTTTTTGCTGTGTGACTTGTCAGAAAAGTCTTGATGGCGTAGCATTTACTGTTGATGCAACAATGAAAATTCATTGTATCGATTGTTTTCATGAAAAGTTCGCTCCACGCTGTTATGCATGTCATCGAGTTATACTACCAGTCTCTGACCAAGAAGAAACAGTTCGTATTATTGCATTTGACCGAAGTTATCACATTGACTGTTATCGATGTGAAGTAAGTGTATTTTAGTCGAATAGAAACCACGCACGTGAAAATAATATTTATCGTTTTTCTTTTTCAGAATTGTAACGTACAATTTACAACAGAAGAAGGTTGCTATCCGATAGATGATCACGTTCTTTGTCTCCCATGCAATCGAAATTATTCAAAGAAAAAGCTTAACCATTCTTAAGTCGAGCAACGATTATTTTCTATGTACATATCTATTTATATTGCCAACACAGATAGTCACCGATTCAGTGTTGAATATTTGTTATCGACTTTTTTCTTCTTTTTTTATAGTATTTCTCTCCTTTCTGTTGCAGCTTATATATGCATAAGATTTTGTAGAAAATAAATATAAAATGTGTTTTGTTTTAAATATTTTAGTGCTAACTTGATTTTTCTTTAAATCTTTCCAGCCCATTTCTTTTATTTTATATTTGTGATCTTTCTTTGAACGGAATATGAATTATAATAGATGACTGTTTTAATAAATGAAGATGTTGTGATCGCTAAAAGCTGAGTTAAAATTTGAAAAAAAAGTCTTTTTAGAACGCTGGTTGATAGTCGATGCGTATACTTCAATTTGTCTAGCCAAGTAAAATGTGAATATCAATGTTATTTTGCTTTATTGGCTAATTTCATGAGGATTATTCATCGCGCCTATTAATTTATTCGTAGATTAAGTCTAGAATATTGATTGACGAAATTCGATGCATGAAACTTCGACTAATTCATACGTACTACTTGTTATTAAGCAGATGTTGTAAATTTAAAAACACTTAGGAATATTCAATAAAAAATGCTGAAGATACTTTAATTTATTTAAAACAAAGCTTAGAGATACTTTGCTTTTAACTAATCTTTTAGTACAATGAACAAATAATTAAAAATTATATTTCCACGTAAATGTACTCTATTTCTAATTTTATATCTTAGCACTCGTTTAGGGCAGCCTCCATCTTGAGATAGATTTCATCTTATCCGTAAAAAGAAAGATACATGCATTGCATGTCAGGCAAAGATCGGTTGATCACCAGTATCGAGTCTGCTACTTTACATGAAAATGTTTAACGACAAGAACCTTTCATTGCAATTTATTGTAAATCATAGCTTTTATTGTTCGTAAAGTGCGAAAAACGAGAGCATATTCTCACCTACTTTGATTGCCAGTATTCACTCTATGTGTTGATCAACCTGCAATTCCCATGATTAGAAATACCTATTAGACATATGTCAGTTATGCTTCACGTCCATAGATCAAATAAGGGAGATGAGAATATTTTTAAAATTTAACATAGACTTTTCCCGTCATTTTAAGTAAGAAGTAACAAAAATATTCGTGATCAGCTAGAGTGTCTACCTGTATGCTTTCGTGCGTAAAAAAAGCTACGAACAGCTTTTATATGAAATCAGTCATTGATTGCTCAAATTATTATGCGCAAAAAATTGAACAAAGCAGGCGTGCTGTCCTTAATTGCGTAGCTGTATTTTTTCATCGGGAGTAGAAAAACAGATGAGTCTTTTCTACAACTGATTACTTGTGATTTCCTGCTTAGATTATTACATGTAGATGCAAGTATATGCTTTGCCTGAGCATCGACTACTGTCAGAGATGGAATAAATCGTTTAGTTTTACTATTTAGAGTACGCTATCGTCAACACATAAACCATTTGACGGTGATACATCGAATCTAACATTCAAGGGTAATTTTAATATCAATTAATTAAATTGAAAGCAAACTATTCTCATCTTCGAACACTTATTTCCGTCGGGGGTTGGGTAACTCATTCTTGCTTGAAAATAAACATATTAATTGTTTTTTTTAGTCAGATTCCACTAATTTTTCGGATGTAACTCTCAATGATCAAAGTCGATCAACATTTGCTGCTTCGTGTGTTGACTTTGTTAAGCAGTATAATTTTGATGGCATTGATATAGATTGGTGAATAGATCGATTAGTTCGTGCAAAAACATTTTCACATAAAAAGAACCAAGCATGTATCCGTTGAATTAGAAGACTTTTACAGTTATTCATAGGCTAGTATATAAAGAAATCGGGCCAATAGAATGAACCGTTTGATAAAAATACTTTTGTCTTTTATGAAGCAATTTTCGAAGTAATAAATATGCGATGACTGTAGGGAATGTCCTGTTTCTGGTGATTTGAATTCCAACACTCATCGCCTAGAGGATAAACAAAATTATGTTCTTCTACTGAAAGAACTTCGTCGTCAATTAGATGCTCAAACCGATATGAAATATTTGTTAATCGTAGCGTACGTAAACATAGTAGATACTAATCTATGCGATGTCAAATATTCTCTGCATTCTTTTTATAGAACGGGACCAGTTTAGCAATATATTAGTAATTTAGATTTATCTGGTATGGCTGCATACCTCGATTGGATAAATGTTATGACTTATGATTTTCATGTTTTGTTTTCTAAAGAATATATAATTATTTTCGTGATGGATATAGCTGTATGAGACGAATTTTTAGGTAATTATGAAGCGAAAACAGGCCGCAATGCTCCATTGAACAAAAACAATAAGTGATATTGCTCCATCGTACATGAAATCAACATTCAATTGTGATGCAGCCATGCACACTTATATTAAAGCTGGAGTATCTTCTCAAAAAATTCTTATGGGTTTACCATTGTATGGACGTGGCTGGCAAGGCTTGTGCTAACGATTTGTATTTTTTATAATTATATAGTTGAATTAAGTAAGGCGTAACAAGTGCGAATCTCAATGGTTTTTCACAAATAGCATCTAATATACCGCCGAATGGCACTTGGGAAGCGGGAATTTTCGATTATGACGATTTGAAAAAAATCTTATATTCCGTATACACGATACTGGGATGATCAATCAAAAGTGCCATTTCTTTTTAATCCATCAACTGGTATTTGGATCAGTTATGACGATGTAACATCCATTAGTGTAAAAAGTGATTATGTTAAAAAGAAACAATTAGATGGTACGTTTTTCTGGGAATTGAGCAGCGATCGTCAGGGAGAATTAGTGAGTGCAGCATACAATGTATTCTCTAATACGGCGCAAAAAACAGTATCAAGAACAACGGCTAGATTTACAACTGTAACCACGACTGGATCGTTGCTTTCAATGACAACTACTTTAACATCTTCAGTGATAGCTAAAAAAAACTGTAAGAACATGGCAACCTTACCATACGTCTATTCGATAGCTGACGAAGTAACTCATGATGGTAGACAATACAGCTGTCGGCCAGCTCACACATCATTACCAGGTTGGAAGTCAAATTGTGTACGAGCACTTTGGCTAAAGGACAAATTTTCACGTATTGTTTACTAATTGGTTTATTCTTTACGGCATTTCCATCGGAGATTCAAGAATTCCTATGCATATTATTTTCTCATAACTCCCTTTTTCGGTAAAAGCTTATATACTTGTTGACATTGTCATCAACATCTTTAGGTGAATAGATGCTTTCATTATTGTAATTAGATTAAAACACGATTCTTTTACGAAAAGTATCAAATTCTTTTATAAAACTGTTTTGGTACATTTAGGCATCTGTGTACAATGCTGTAATAAATAACACACATAACAAAGAAATGGCTTGAAGCTAGACGTACAGTTTCTCGATTAGATATATTTACAGTACATCAAAGTGAAAATTGTTTTCTGCTCAAAATGAAGTGCGAAACTATTTAATTATAGAAGCTGGAGTCTGCTTTTTAATCTGTCTATATTTCTGTTGCGATATGATAAATAACGTATGAATCCACGTGCAACAGGAAGTTTCACAAGTTGTTCTTTATACGAACGAATGTATAACTAAAAATTAGTCTTTCTTTATTTTTCCCTTAGAGAAGTCAGTTGTTAGTTTCAACTTTAATTCTCCAGTTGTTTCTTTCATAGACAGATTGGTCGATCAAACTTTTCGTATCACAAATACACCGTATGAGAATTATCGACGCCAACGTTCGTTCTGTACACATAATCGAGAGCTCAACATAGAATTTACTACTATCATTTTATTGCAGCAATACAGAATTTATAAGGCATTTTCAAAGTATTTTGTTCACTTTCATTTATTATTCAAAAATATTGCTCGTTTATTCGTACAATGAAAAAACATCAATAAAAACAAGTGTATAAAATATAGTCAACAATAAATACAAAGTAATGTGTACAATGAATACAAAAGGAAAACAATTTTCATCGATATTAGCTGTTCCAGTAAGAAAGATAAAATCGAAATTAATCGCTAAGTTCGTTAGGTTGGTTTTCTTTATTCGATTGTTGGCTGGTTTGTTTCATATTTGATGTTGGACCTTTATTATTTTTTTCCTTATTTCCAGATTTTTCAGTAGATGCCTTTTTACTTTTTCTATTTTGAATTGGATATAAAAGTTTTGTCTAGAAATTAGAAAGAAAACGTTGAAAGAAAACCTATTGAATTTTTCTACGTACTGCTTCATCACGCTGACGCCACATTTCAGCTATCATCTTCATAATATCTGGTTGCATTATGTTAGGATTTTGTTTCTTGAAAAATACAAGAGAATTACAATTAAAACCTTCAACGAAAAATTTCTCCTAATAACTACCTTAGCTTCTTCTTGCTTGTCGACGAAAAATTTTATCCAACCTTTTAAATGTTTGTGGCTCTTCTTTGAATTACGACCTTTTTGACTTGAATGACGAACCATTTTAAATTTGGTTTAGTTTTCTTACTAGGAGACAAAAACAACGTTTTAATTTATAAATATCATGTAACATTTGCGTACTTACTTGAACTTGTATAGTTGGTTATAATGAAGTAGAATGAGAAATGAAAGCGTTTTTATAGGCTACGATATGCTCGTCCGTTCGGACAGACGTATAGACTAAACCGTTGAACAATAATCGAGGGGTTTATTAAATTCAACGGAGGAATGAAAGAAAAAATCAAATCAGCGGCGAGAAAAGAATTTTATTCTTAGTCAAATAGGCATAAGGAAAAATATAAACGTACAAGTGAACATTTCTGTTATATGAATAGAAAAATATATGGAATGTCTTTGTTAGTTTTAAAACGTTGGACGTTTAAAGGCCAGTTTTAATAATTGTATGACTGGTAATTCAACGAAGAGAAAAGTGAACAATGATAACATGTAGGCGATCGTAACATGAAGAATACTGCCGCATAACTAAAAATAAAAAGATTGATTAGGAATTGAAAACATTCAATACGTACAATATTCGTGATTGTATAGTGAATCGCTTGGTCACGACTTAAATAATTGACGAAAACAACTAATGAATGCCAAAGATAAGCACCATAAGTTAATTTTCCCAATGATTCAAAAAACGGATGAGCAAGAAATTTATCGACGATACCTATTCGATATATTCTAGTAAATATTTAGAAAAAAAGAAAAGAAACAACTATAAACTAACCTCCATGTCCAGTGAAACAAATCATAATAATTATACTGAGTCCAATAGCCCACGCGAGTCTTGATAAAGTAAGAAATGCAATACGTTCTGATCGATTTAATGGATGTCCATTAAAGTCTCCGTATGTACCGAAAATACACAGTGCTAAAAGAGTCAAAGCACATAGCCAAGCTACGGTATATTTTACTCGATTGAATCGAGTAACCCTTGTTTGTGGTAATAATGAATCCCATGAAAATGCATTTGTACGTTTATATATTTCATAGAGAACATAACCTAATATTAAACCAACAGCATATGGAGCAATACGGCACCATGGTTTAATATAAACATCGTTTGAATAATCATGAGTTGTATCAGACCCATTAGCTCTCGTTGAATACATCTCACTGAAAATTCCATGATCATAATTATTTTTCGATACGATCACTGCTGTTGTTACGATATCCACTAGGATAAATGCAACAGCTACGAGCATTCCAAACATCCAGTTCCTAAGATAAACAATTCATATGAAATACTGTATACAGAAAGAAAACCTATGAAAGATCTTACCATGAAACAGTAAGTAAATACAATGGTGAAATCCAATGGAATTGCATATAAACTGCCAAAAACCAGGTTATCTAAAGGCAGAGCACGTTGCGAATCGTGATACAAAATAAAAATTTCACTCTATTACCGGCATGCAACCAGTCTTCATATCAAAAAAGTTATTGATATAAAGTAAATTGCGCCACCATGTTTGTCGACATGTTGACGTTTCACTACCATTCACCGGATAAACAGGACCACCTTGGCCAAAATATGATGAAAGATTAATATGGATCAGTAAAATTATAGCATAGAATACTGTATATCTAGAAAAAAAAACATTTTATTTATATATTTGAAAAATTCAGATCGAGATTAATACCTTAGATAACGATAAACATAATGATTAAGAAGAAATTTCCCAATTGAAACTCTCTCATTTTCGACTTTCGTCATAAAAAAAATGAATGTAGTGAGTAGACCGCTGAAAAAAATCAATAGAATTCAATTAAATATATTTTAAGCATTCGCAATTACCTTAAGACAAAAAATGAATCGACACTCAATACTCCTTGTACAATTATTTGAAACCAAAGTTGACGTGACCAATTGAAAATAGTTAGTACATTATCTAAATTAACATAATTATATTCTATACGTTGTAGACAAATATTTTTGAAAATTTCTATGAGCGTGAGCTTAATTAAATGAACTCTATTTTTACTTACGAATAAATTATTTTCTAAGAATATAGATTCTAGATTTTGATTTTAAGGAGTATTTAGAAAAAACTCACCCGAATAATAAGCCGCATAGAGAAATGTATGACCAATAATAATCCACCAAAGCGAAAGAACACGAATACCATTTAAACACGATAATATTTTAGGTTGATGTTCGCGATTTAATATTGAACAACTACTCATTAATGAACAACAGCTAACTAAATTTTGTGCCACTATTAATAATCAAAATACGATGTGAATATATATATATATATATTTCAAAAGAAACTAATTTACTTGAATCACCAGCTTGCTGAGGTCGAGCAATTAACGGTGTTGCTTCATTTTCTTGTTCATTGTCTGAACGTTGCGTTTGAGACGTACTAACCGCTGTTGTTGTTCGACTTAATATTGGTTCATAAGTCGTCGCAGGTGTTTCATCCATTTTCAAAACATGTCTATGTCTATATGCAATATGCATTCCAGTAGCCACAAGAATGAGAAACGCAATCACACTCAAAGTTACACTAAAATTAAAACAAAATCAATGATTAGGAAATCCATGACCCAGAAATGTTACATTGTTAAAATTGCTTTTGTATCATAGGAACGTTGATCAAGGCAATGCATACTACCATTTTTTAAATTAATGAAGTTTTTAATAAATGGAATTTGAATAGCACCTGAAAAAAGTTTTTATGGCATAACGAAGAGAAAAAATGAAAGTTTTTCAATAGGATATTCACATACGTTGATTAATGTAATTGATTAGTTCGTTTTCATTACAACTTTGAGGTACACAAATGCCATAGATAGGTCGAACAGTAATTGATTGAGTACTGCTAATAATACACGTACGTGTTCGAATTGGTTGTTCAACAACGGTATTATTTAAACCACGGAGATGATGTTCACATTCATATGTTGAACCTATCCAAAAGATGTTGCCTTGCATGATTCCGCTAGGAACTTTTCCCCAAGCATCCAATGCTAAAAATCAAACGAAAGAGAAATTAATTTTATTTTTCTCGAAAATTAAAGACAAATAACGAGTTACTTTTCAATGCCCAAGTTTGTTTAGTAACGAGATCTCTAGTTAATAATGCGATATCTCGACTACAATTCGATTCATTAGAGTTGAGTTTAAGATCGAGTTTTATCCATGGCAATGTTTGATTGAATTCCATATTGAAATCAAGAAAATTTTCTTGAACAAATCGAGCATTCGCAATAATTTTCGGAATAAGATTAATAGACGATAATGATTCAGCTTTAATCCCAAATTTAATCATGAATAGAAGAAAAATAGTAAATGAATACATATGAAACTTCATTTTAGTTTATCTACAAATAGGATCAAATGAATCCTCTTAAAATAGTACATAAAACTGACGTCTAATTTGTTTTCCGCAAATTTTCTATTCAATGTAGAAATCATAGTGAGTTATTTTTATCTTTGTTTATTAAAAAAATAATCGTTCTTTTTCTTTCATCAGATTTTCGGCGTATTAAAACGTCCACATAATTTTTACTGTTAAATAATTAAGTAGATTTGAAGTGGTTGTGTCAATATACGTAATTACATAAATAATAAGACATTATAGAATAGGCTTGCAGATTTAAGTTTAAAGAAATGTGTCTATTGTTTATCTAAATATGAATATTTTCGTTTATAGAAAAGTATCGTATCGAAATATGAGACTTTATTTGCTCTTGTCTTAATCCTATTTAAGATACATGATTTCGTGCTTCTTTTCATTTTGATGATCGACTACTAAACGAATACGGCGAGAACGACCGATAGCTGGTTGGCAAGCTGTAGCAGTATTTTATTCTATCTTCATGACATAGACATATTAGTCCGAACAAGAATTTCGAAGTAATGTTGAATTTCTTTTCTAATACTAACATGCAAAATACAGTGTTAACAATTAGATTACATTTAAATTTCAGAGCAATCGAAAAAGACACTACCATTTGTCACTAATTGCTTAATAGAGACTTGGTCTTTCTAGATTTTCATATATCTTATTGAGTTTTTTGAAAGACCTATAAATTTCTTCTACATGCATTGGCGAAAATCTCATAGACAGACACAGACTATTCGTCATTCGCCTTAATTCTAATCAAATTTTTATTCTAGATCAATATTTATGTTTCATCTTTGTGAAATTTGTCGTCGTTTTGCTAATCGACAAATAAATGTATCAAGTGTCCGTTTTATTATATATTTCTTATTGTTCTCAGTATTGATGTATTATCATTTTTCAATCTCGTTAACAAAAAGTCATAGTGAAATTGAATCGTCTTCTACTCGAATTATGTATGTAGTTCGAACAAGTTCAAAATTTTATCGATCTCGTTTACAGCACGTACTGCAAACTTGGATATCATTGGTTAGTCAACATACTTATTTTGTTACGGATAAACTTCTACCAAGTGTATCTCATGATCATCTTATTCTAACACATGAAATATGCGGTCAAGAGAGACATGCAATGAATACTTTATGCTGTAAAACAGCACATGATTTTAAACTTTTTCATCGTCATCTTACAAACTATGATTGGTTTTGTCATTTCGACGATGATCAATATGTGAATAGTAGAAGACTAGAAGAATATTTATCTACATTAGATTCTAATAGACCTTATTATATTGGACGTAATTCATGGGCGAAGACACTTGATCGACGAAAACAGCCATTTCCGTATTCATTTTGGTTTGCTACTTTAGGTGCCGGCGTCTGTTTATCGAAACCATTAGTTCATCTTCTTCAACCTTACACTCAGAATATTGCGCAATTCGTTGATGGTTGTTTAAAAGAAAATTATCATGACGATATCTATTTGGGCTTCCTTATATTTGGTTATCTCAACATAACATTAACAAAAAACTATCGATTTCATTCTCATTTAGAAAAAGATTTTTATAATGACAAACAAAAATTTCTTGAAATATTTAATGAACAAATAACATTTGGCTTTCGTCTACCTAATTACTGTCCAGTCTTTCTTCCAAATCTGTATGATTCTCGATCGGATCGCTATCGTCTGCGTTCAATGCATTGTCTACTGAATCCTCATATCGATGAATGTCAAATGAGAATGCATAAGCTTGTGCTTAATGTGATTAAATCATTTCGATAACAAGAAATGAACGTGATATTTTACTTCTATTGGTGCTTATCTTCTTATTAAGCGTCAACTGTTTTTGTTATTTTGTGGTTTACCCCACATTCGTCCCATAATTCGTCCCACGAAATTAGTCCCATCTTTTTTTACCCTAATTCGTCCCAGTTAAAAGGTAATTGATTCTTAACTCGTCCCATGTGACAACATTAATACTAATTGTTCCATTCTACAAGAGGCTTTACTTATCAATTAAAACTAAATTGAAGATCGTAACAGAGTTCATCTATGTATAATATAATCACGCAATAGAATAGAAAATGGCCTGGAAACGATCGGAAATTCTAATATGTACTACTAGAACACTCTTAATGGTGACATCTCACTATTATTTTTGATAAATTGGTGGATCAAGCTACGCGATACATAAAATCAAAGACAAAAGGATATGATAATTTTTATACATAACTTGATCTCGTTTTTGTGATATGCTTCGATTTACAACTAGTGAACGAAATCAGCAAGTACTAAATTATTTGTATTTTCAATATACTGTGAAGCGAAAGGTGTGGGTGTGTTTATCTCTTCTCTATTTTCTTATTGGATGATAATTAATAAAATATAGCCAGACTTTCTCTCATGTTTAGAGGTGGACCGTTGATTTTAATTTGAGTTAATAAAGAGAGTTAATTAAGTGGTTTTACTTAACACTTAATATTAAGAAAAAAACGTTTACATTAGCGACTTAATTACTTAATATTAAGTGTTAAACGAAACACTTAATTTTTTAAATTAAGTATTGCTTTAACACTTAATATTAAGTAATTAAGTGGGCAATCTACACATTTTTTTCTTAATATTAAGTATTGCGTTAACGCTTAATATTAAGTGATTAAGTCGCTAATGTAAACGTTTTATTCTTAATATTAAGTGTTAAGTTAAAACTTAACACTTAATATTAAATTAACGTAAAGTGCCACCCCTACTCATGTTAATTGATACTCTCATATAGAATGGGACGAGTTAAGAATCAAATAATTTTTAACTGGGACGAATTAGGGTAAAAGAAGATGGGACTAATTTCGTGGGACGAATGTGGGGGATACCTTTTTTTTGTAAATATGGATGCAAAAATAATTTCTATTATTTATTCATCAAGCAACAGAATATTTTCTTTTCTATTCGTGTAAGACACGCGTATGCATAGCCGTCAAGTTACAACATACGAAGGCGCCCCGTTACTGTTGTTGCTGACTCGACAAGTGTTTAACTGAAATGATTTCAACTCGGCTAACTCTGTCGGTTCTATTTGAATTTCAAAATATAATATCATCGATTGCTCGAAAGAAAGAGAAAAGCAAATTATTTACGAACTATTGGTTGTTTTTCTAGTGCAAACGATTTTACCAAATACAGGCTTATGGGTATTGTTCTGTTTCGAATTCAACGGACATTGATAAATGGATAATATATATGTGTGTGTGTGTGTGAATATGTTATGATTTCTTTTCTAAAAAAAGAAATAGACGAATATGAAAAACAGATACATATATTTCTTATCGTATGAAAATATTGATGAAAAACAAAATGAACACATAAGTGTAGGTATAGCTGATATAATGATACTGGTTATGAAAATGAGAAAACAAAAACAAATATGCTTGGATTTATTTATTTTCTTGATAAACAAATCACTAGTCGTAATGGTAGATAGCTAAGCCTAACGATTGACTATATCATGATTGTGTGAGAAAATCAAGATGAATCTTTAATGCGTTTGCAGATTTCCGATGTATACTCCGAACATTTGGATTTGCCACCTAAATCACCAGTCAGTACCTAAACAAAAAGTGATCCTCATAATTTAATATGATCAACAAGAGATTATTACAAACCTTTCCATTTTTTATCGTTTCAAAACAAGCTTTTTCGATGCGTTCGGCTTTATCATACATTTGTAAATGTTTTAACATCATAACTGCACTAAGAAGTAATGCTGTCGGATTAGCTTTATCTTGTCCAGCAATGTCGGGTGCAGTGCCGTGAACAGCTTCAAAAATAGCTGCGCCATTTTCACCAATATTACCACTTGGTGTTAAACCTAAACCGCCAATAAGACCAGCACACAGATCACTAAGAATATCACCATATAAATTTGGCATAACGAGACAATCGAATTGCGTTGGGTCTTGAACCATCTAGTTTTTTGTTTTCATAGAATTAATTATGTAAGAAAATAATAATTTTCTCGAATAACTAACCTTGAGACAAACAGTATCAAGATACATTTCTTCAAATTTTATTTCTGGATATTTCTCAGCGACTTCACGTGCACATTTTAAAAATAAACCATCAGAAAGACGCCTAATGTTATCAAAAAGTACAGATAAAAATAGCTGAGTGTAAATTATGATTCTTCTTACATGATATTCGCTTTATGAACGGCTGTGACTTTTTCTCGTTTATGTTGTTTAGCATAGAGAAATGCATATTCACAGACACGTAATGATGCATGTTCAGTAATAAGTTTTATACTTTGTACAACACCTGGTACAATTGTATGTTCGATACCCGAATATTCACCTTCCGTGTTTTCACGTATTGTAACAAGATCAACGTTTGTATATGGTGTTTGATAACCTAAAAGATACACAAAATTTTGTTTTAAATTATAGGTACTTGAGTATGTCCTACCTTCAATAGTTTTACATGGTCTTACATTAGCAAATAGATTGAATTGTTTGCGTAAAGCAAGATTAAGAGATTGATGCCCTTTACCAACCGCTAGAAGAAAGAATATATATTAGATGCATTTGCTTAAGAAAATCATTCTCTTACGTGTTGCTAATGGTCCTTTGAGACCAATGCGATTCTTTGTCACGGAGTCGATAGCTCGAGGAGGAATACGAAATTTTCCATCAGGCTAATCAAAAACAAAGATGAGAACACGGTCTATCAAAAGACTTTTTGTCTTACTGATTTGACAGGTGTTACATCAACCGATTCCCAATTGATTGGTACATCTGCAGCATCAAAGATTTTTTGAACACTATTTGAAATTTCAGGACCAATGCCGTCACCTTCAATGATACTAAAAAGTTATTTTGAATGTCAAAAATAGAAATGATTTACCTGGAATAAGAGTTACTGTTCGCGGAGAATCGACTGAGCCAATTGTACTACTTGTTTCATCAAGAAGTGGTGATGAAGTAGCAAAAGAACGTCGATTATAAATCGATGATGTTGAACGACATGTAATGGCAAGCCGGCGAAATATGGCAAATGACATACTATTTCCTACAATCACACATGCACACGAAACAATCTACAGTATAGCAGTGAAAGTAAACCTTATGGCAAATTCGAATCAATAGTCATAAAAAACAACAACAACAAAACATCGCTACATTACATTACATACCAATGCTAGAGTATTGCAGGAAGACAAAGAGCCAATCAAATGTCTCGACGTTAGATGTCTGTAGCGGTTGTCGAAAGCATTTCGTCTGATTTATCAAAGTCGATCAGAGCAATGAATGACAACATACAACAGTAGAGTAGTAACTATATTATTTTAGCGGAAAAGTAACAAAAGAGCTTGGCAATTTACAAAATATAATTGTTAAGATAAAAAAATTAAATAAAGAATAAGCAAAACTTGTTATATCTTTAGACATGTTACAATCAATCGAAGTGTAAAAAGGAGTATGTTAAACAACTAACTAAAATCTACATTAAAAATCATAAAGATCGATTAGCATTGTAACTAGGTAGATCATGTTTTTTTGGAAATATGTACAGCGTAGAACGGAAAATTTCACAAAGTAGCATATGATAAGATTGATAGAAATTAGCATCTATAAATCAATGCACATATATTCTAAGACACTTTTCATTTTACTTTGTTTCCCTTTGTATTTAAAGAATAAATAGATGCGTATTGTTGCATGTTGTTAGAAAAATGACATGCAAAAACGATATTATTTTGTTCAGCAACAAATCTTATATTTCAGTATGATGAAAAATTGAATTTAAATATATTTTTATAGAATTAATCTTACATTTTGCTTATACACTGTAAAAAGAACAGATATATACGTATATGATGGGGTTCCTCTTTAGAAAATCAAGGTATTCATATGAAAACCAGGGAATGCTCTTGAATTTTAAATGTAGGATCCTGCTGACTACTTGTAGCACCTTCAGATGGTATATTTGAGAGTTCAATTAGTAACTATAACAGCCTAATTAATATTTGTAGTAGCTTAACTCAAGTGTAATTCTAAGTCTGATGATTTGTTCTATATAAATTCATCCATATCCTCAAGATTTTTTTAGTACGTAATCTTCAAAAATCTGATTTTGTTGTGTTTGATCACCTCTCACTTATTTTTGCCTTCTCTTCAACTAGCTTGTTTCCAGCTTCAGTCTTTCGTCCGTATATAGTGTACAATTACAGCAGAATTGAAAATATTCCATTTATTAGAAGAAATATTTTTCAGAAAAAGTCAACATTAAATGAAAGAGAACGAATGTGGAATAAACTTTATTTATTTTAGCCAAACCAAAACCTCGATTAGAATTTGCCTTTTATACGATCAATATTTTTTTTAACTGTAAGACATTCTCATCCGTTGAAGGAAGAAATTTCTGCCAGATGCTAAGTACTCGTTCAAAATATGAAAGTGCTTTAGAATACTCTTGCATCTTCGCATATATCATATCCATGTTATGATATGACGCAGCCAAGTCTGGATGGCTGAGAGATAAAGTTTTTCCTCTGATCCCGAGCGTTCGTTGAAAAGCTGAAAGTGCTTGGGTGTAGTCCAGAATCTTGCTATATGCCGTACCAATTTTTCTATAGGAAGCGGCTAAGTCAGGATGATTTGGCGGAAGCGATTGTTTCCTAACCTGAAGTAGTATTTCGTAAGATGCAAGCATTTTCTTGTTTTCGTTCATTTTACCATATAGTGCACCGATGTTGCTGTAGGAAGCAGCCAAATTGAGATGATTAGGAGAGTGATTATGGCTAAGGATTCTTGAGGATTTTTCATAAGATGAAAGTGCTTTCGGATAATTTTCCATGATCTCAAACATACAACCAAGTTGATCGCAGTAATTCTCTTTGTCTGTTGCAGATGATGTGTTTTTTAGCACGTATTCATAAAGTGTTTCTAATTTTTCAAATTTTCTCAATTTGATAAATATACGAGCTAGTCTAGACCATCCAATTGCCAGAGAGTTGAGTTCCTTTTGCATTTGTACTGTGTATGTGCGTAAGTCATTATCGTTATTACCAACGAAAGTGAGATAGACTTCCCATAGCGTATTAGTATGATCATCGGTGATGCGTTCGATTTTGTCGATACGAAAGATGGTATGTGTCGAAAAAAGAATTTCATCTCCTTGATACTTTTCTTGGGAATCGCTTTTAATATCAGCAAAAGAAGTCGATGTAGATGCACAGAGTGTTGGATCAATAGTCATGACAAATAACACGCCAACTGAACCTTGATTAAGCGCTGCTGATGGACTTGTAATTTTTTTCAAAGAAAGATCCCGATTTCGACTTGTTGAAAGGAAATTATTAAAAGACATCAATCGGCCTTTTGCTTGCTTCAATGTTTCAAAGTGTTTTTCCAATAAACCTTGCCCTCTATATAATTTGAACGGCGTCTTTATTGCTGTCGATTGTTGTTTATGATATAGTTGTTCGATCGCTCGATGAAGACGTCGAATGAAAAATCCCATATTCAAAAGAATATCGACATCAAGTACCTGAAGACCTCAATTGAGCATCGAGGCGATAAAACTTGGCGTCGTGTACCATGAAATAGATGTATCACGACGATATTGACGTTTGAAATGTTCAATTTCGCTATGATCTATATTATTCCCGAGACGACAGTAGTCAACAAATTCTTTTATGGATTTATTGTCTTCGTCATCGTCGTCATCAATCTCAAAAAGAACTTCTCTTAACAACGATGTGTACATAAAAATATCATTGATACCTTGAAAACTGATCGAGATCAAAACTCGATCGCATCGTTCGCAATCGATTTGTAATACATTACAGTTTGAGGAAATGCTTGTATGAACACCCTTTATCTTCATCAATTTTTCGTCCACTCTTCATGTGCCGATTTATTGCCACAAAAAATATCAATGGATTCCAATTGTGGCCATTCGTGAATTTTTGGTACAATACGCTTTCCCAATGAACCAGAAACAATCGTAGATACCTTTTCTTAGTTCATTTTACTAAGGAATCTAGTACATTCTTCAGCATCTGCAAATAAGCGGATTGGCACCATGATAGAGCTTAGTTGTCCTAAGGAATGTTTATAGTCTTCGTTCGACTCATCGATATTAGCATCGAGCCAAACAAGATGAAAATTTTGAAGAATTCTACGACCATGATGAGACAGCACAACAGTGTTATTGCTGGTGGTGGATGCTCCAAATCTGCTAGTAATAGACGGTGGCGTGGATTTATTAGTAGTGGACGAAGAGGAACCACCAGCTGAGGATGTTGTCAGTATGCTCATGATGACTGATGAAAGAATGGATTCAATGAAAATGAATCTCTCTTTGTGTATAAAAATGCTAATGTGTTCTTTTCTCTTTGTTTTCGTTGGTTGTCATAACATCCGGAGTATTTTTCTTTCGTTTCCAAGTTGTTATAAGAAGTGACGGCAATGTCTCTGCACCACAGGCGAAAAAAAATAAGAATAGAAAAAAAAGTAACTATAATACATGAATGCTGTCCTTATGTCTGTTTTTGTTTATTCAGCTTTCTTCCAACATATTCGTAAGTATGCGCCTGCAACAGCCCATTACATGAAAAGAATGTGAAGTAGACTAATTATGGGCAATGTGTGCTTTGTTTGTTTATCGGATTAAAACCGTAAGGTTCAAAATTAAGATGCACTTAAAATAAAGATATTTTAAGGACTCTCAGTGCATGAAATAATTAGTATAAACAAATCATAATTATACATATGTAAGCATACTTGTAAAAGTGCGAATAGCTGGTACATTTTTTTTAATATCGTTGTTTTAGGCGACGTGTGTTAGTGAAAATGCATTTTTTGTTTATTTTTACAACCACACACGTATTCGAAGTACTCTCTTTGAATTTCATAAGCTTGTGATCTGCTGTTTAAAGAAAAAAACTATTTTTCACCGTTTATTTGCAATTTAAGAATGCTTCAATTCAGAATTTCTTTATCAAAATTACACATACCTGGATCATCTTAACCAGTCAACCGATCAGTTCTAATAGAAAAACAGACTAATGAAATCGAAGGTAGCATGATATATACGTATCACTCATCTATAGCATATTTTGCTCGTTAATATAATCAATAGAGTCTAATTCATTTGAATCGGATGACAAAACTATGATCTAAAACCGTTTGCTTATCGTTGCTTTATTGTGTCGATGAGTGACGTTTTGATATAAAAAGATAAGATATTGTGTCACACTTTTCTTCATGTACCATTATCAGAGCATTTTATTTATATGGCAAGTGCGACTAATAGATCTCGTAAGCGTATCAAACTATCAAATAACTCACTTGAACAAGAATCAGTCCCGGTTGAGAACACGGTCAATAAAATTTCATCAAGTAAGTAAAGAGCCACAGATCATCGTAATACATCTACTTAGACTTAAATATTTCCCTATAATCAACCAAAATCTTACACTCTTAACAGAGCTTTTATGTGAACCGACAGCAATAATAGATGTAATAACATATGAAAAATTATTGATAGATACTGCTTTTTTGAAGGATCGCCATGCTTACCAAATATTGATGTGGAGGCAAAGTGGTCGCCCAATGGTATAACTGTAGCAGGAGGCAATGGCCCTGGAAAGGCCATCAATCAATTACATCATCCATGGGATCTGGACGTAGATGATGATCAAGCTATTTATGTAGCTGAATATTCAAATCATCGCATTATGAAATGGACGTGTGGTGCCGTGCAAGGAGAAGTCGTCGCTGGTGACAATAGACAAGGAAATCGAAATAATCAATTGAATGGCCCAGCAAACGTAATTGTCGATAAATATAATGATGCTATTTTCATTTGCGAGCAAGGAAATAGGCGCGTCGTTCGATGGCCACTTCATAATGGCAAACAGGGAGAAACAATTATTTCAGATATTAATTGTTGGGGTTTAGCCGTCGATCGTGATGGATATCTTTACGCTTCTGATTATAAAACGCATGAGGTAAAGCGGTGGCATTCAGGGGAAACTTTAACTACCGTGATAGCGGGTGGTAATGGAAAGGGTAATCGTCTCGATCAATTTAATTTTCCTGCTCATTTATTTGTCGATCTGGATTATTCACTGTACGTATCAGATATCGGCAATCATCGTTTGATGAAATGGACACAAGGTGCCAAAGAAGGTATTGTTATCGCCGGTAATGGAAGTGAAGGAACAAATCTAACACAATTATCCTATCCTGCTGGAATAGCTGTTGACAGTTCAGGTACTGTCTATGTTGTAGATTCACATAATCATCGGATAATGCGTTGGTTACAAGGAGCAAAAGAAGGTAGTGTCGTTATTGGTGACTATGGGCAAGGAGCAGAAACAAATCAATTGAATGGTCCTCTGGGCTTGTCATTCGATCGGCAAGGTCATATTTATGTAGTTGATAATCTTAATCACAGAATACAAAAATTTCATATAGAATCAATTTGAATTTTTGCAACCCATCTACGATGTTGTTTCATTTTCTTTTGAATGTGTTCTTTTTACTAAAGTAATCATCGTGTCTAAAAAATTCAGAAAAAAAACCTTGAAATCCGTTCTATGTTATTGATTCTTCTGAAAATAGTTCATTTCATGTGCAATTCGAAGATTTTGAAGAAAAATAAAAGTTGCTCGACAGAATAATATGTGATTACTGTTTTTTCATGAGTGACACATGGACCAGTGATTAGAAATGTCATCTGAATTAATATTAAAACAATAAAGAACAAAAAGATAAAATTAGTCCCATTGATTGGTAACAATTTGATGTATCATGGTGATGTAATTTCTACCATTTTAATAATATAAAATTCATCGCCTGTATTCAGAGAAGAATGGACTTGAAACTGTGTACCAGGTAATAGTAGAATTTCATCGTCAGTACAGTTGAATGAATGTTTACTAATATCTTTGCCTGAGCTACATTCGATACTAAACAAAGTTCTTGTACCGGTATTGATAAAACCATGTTCATCGTCAAGCGTTTTAAATTTCTCTGTGCAACTCATGAATTTCGATAGAACAAACACAAACTCGGCAGGATATTGCGCTAGCATATTTGCATTAACTCCTCGATGAACAGTACAACGTTTAGAGTTGATTTTTGACAATCCATCGAAAAGAAGTTTCAAATATAGAAACCACGGTTTCAGTTGTTGTTCACTGTTTGATCGCAATGCTTCATTCAGAAAGTAACGAAATGAATTTTCTCTTGCCAATGAGTTCATATTGAGAAGCATAATAGAAGCTGATTGGTCAGATGTAAGGTTATCGCCAGGTTTTCTACAATTCATCTTTGCTGTACAAACCATATCTTTAATATCAGGAATAATATTTTGAAGTGTCAGAGTAGCATCTTCAAGAGAAACTAATGGCATATTTCTATAGCCTTGTAGTAGAGATATTGATTCTGCAGTTGTAGCATCAAACATGGAAGACTGACTCATTGTGATGATTGGTTCAGGAGTTCGATCTGAAAATAATATCCATCGCAAAATTATTTCAGAAAAAATATTGTCCAAAAACATTTTTTTAATTGCTCACAAAATGGAGAAACCTTTCAATTACTTGCCGCTGCGATTCAAGCCGACGAACTTCAGATTCACGTTTGGATCAATATTTTAAAAACTATGCAATATGTTCAAAAAAAATATTTAAATTTCCAACTAGATAGAATAAGAGCATTGCTGTCACCCATGGCAACAATGTAGTTAATCGATCTATGAAAGCCTGTAAAGGGATAATGTATGTTTTGCGCGATCGGAAATGAAGGAACTGGGAAAAAATTTCTTTAGAAGAATGTAAACAAGAAATAATAGAAAATTTCCCCGCGGAACTGTAGTACAGCCATTTATTCAATCTAAACTCGCATATAAACCCTTTAAATTTACTTCAAGCGGTAAAGTCAACATTACGCCAGTCACACGCCATAATAATTCTCACATCCATTTATAATAAATTTTTATTCTACTTTTGCATTTTATAGTTCTTTACCAGATACTTGCAATTGATGCTTATACTTCCTTAACATTGTCAAATGTACATAGCGTTTTGAATCCAATATTCGCGTCTCTTCGTATTGACTCTTCTATTTCGAGTTAGACTATTATTTGCATACATAAATTCATCTGATAAAGCGCTTTCATACTGCCTAGCCGGTGTCTCTTTCGTCTATTTTATTTGTTGTCGTACTCACCGTATGTTTGGCATAGTAGAATGGCGGAAAGAAAAAGGTAAAAACTGCATCGTACTACGACACATTTCAATTTATATACTCATCTTACACTCTAAGGGCAACTATTTTCCGATAAATGTTTTCAAAAACAAAACTACCTTATTCCGTAGCACTCCTATTTTTAGGCGATATTAGTTTAGGTCGATTCAAGTCGACTGGTCTTGCCTCTCACGAGGTAAATCAGTGCTCATTTCTGGTAGTGTTTCTTCTGACTGTAACAAAATATCCCACTGATAGAATAGCATAGACAAGTGGTTCATTTTTAACAATTTTCTTTTTTATCTATAAAAAATAAAGAATTATAACGAAATATAAAGTCTTCATTGACCTTGTAAAAATTTCGGATCCATTCTTCATGTTCGACTTTGTTCATGCAATAAATAAACATGGCGTTGATCTGGGGAAGTTCATGGATATGTGATAGTATTTACCGACAACGTAGACCACTGACAATAAGAATAATTGTTTCATTCGTAACAGAACGAATATATTCTTGAAAACTAGTTTCCTCAGTGAAGGTTTGAGCAACATCGACGTTGGCGTATAGCTCTTGCAGACTATCTAAGTTTTCCTCTTCGAGAGCATATGAATCGAACCAAGTAATTATAAATTTACTGCTAGAATGGATATTCGACGTCAAAGATCTTTCCATTTTTTCGGACCAATTTCTTACCAGTAATTTGTATTGCTACCTGAAACTAAATAAATATTGGTGTATCAGAACGAGCATTTTAAATTGTTTGTTGGTTTTCTTGCTTCCCGTGTTTATTATTATTATAAATATTAATGAAATTAAGCTGATTTCGCGTACTTGGGGTATTACCTTATCGTTATAAAATAAAAATGAAGATGAAATAAATACTAAAGCATTATTTTTCTTTGAGAAAGTCCTGTTAAATTATTATCAAGTAGCTCGTAAAAACATTTGATACTGGAGACAACATAGTCTGTAGAAGAATGCATGAGCCATTTGTTTTCATTTATCAACTTCATTTTTTAATAATATCAAATATCGGAGTGATATCGCTGATTCGGAGTCATATCGAATAAAACTTACTGTTTTTATACTTATGATATAGAAAAAGCTCTTTTCTTGATTTCACTCTTATCGTTGATCGTAAAACATTTAGTTATCAGTATTTTATAGGTATAAAAAATTTATTTATCGCTATTCTATAATCATAGAGATTCTATTTATAACTTATTTATTTCTTAAAGTAAACATAATCAACAGTTTTTCTGCTTTGAATCTGATACAGTCAACCAACAATCAAAAATTCATCTTGGCTTTTATTTTCAACTTTTCCTTTCTTTGCTTCATTCTGTTCTTTTTTGCATCCTAAATTCGCATCAAACAGGCCGAGAACATGCTTCTCTGTATGCACTATACTACATGTAAAATTTTCCATATATTGTTGGAAGTTTTGTCTTCACTTGTAGAATTGTGAAAAAGCACAAGACGAAAGCTTCTTCATTCAGATTCTAGGTTGAAAAGGGACTATGTCTAACAGAACATCAGCCACATGCAAAACTGGAGCAAACTATGAGCAAGACGATGACGGTCAGTATACACGCATCGAGTACAAGGGAAAAATCTGTCTTGCGTTTCTTTAGCATCAAACACAGATCAGCAGAAGCCGCCCTTTGTAGTACGTGATCGGTACTTTCCAACAAAGACGCCACGTCCTAGTAGAAAAGACGATATGCCATTAAATCAGTCAAGATGTTCACAACGTTCTTTAAGCAATCTTTCTCGTATTTTACCGGCAACTAATGTGGATTGTGTAATTTCGAGAGGTAAGTGATCAAAGTTCTTCGATAATGGCAATTACTAAAAGCGCTCATCGTCAGGTAATGTGAATATAAAAAATAATCAGCGATCAAACTCACAAACAAAACGCCCACGTTCGAATTCAAGGGTCAAGTCTTCCAAAGCTATGGGATTTAATTGTATAGGTTCCAAATCTACTATTGAGCAACTGAAAGAAAAAATCAGGGGTTTATATGACGTACGTACCAATCTCTCTAGAAAAAAGTGCAACATTTTTTCTATTTATTTTGATTGAACGCATAATTTGCCATTTTTTTTTATAGAAAGACATACCCGAAGCACGCAATAATCATGAGTTTCTCATTGTCGAACAAAACGCATTAATTGAACAGCTTGATGAAGATGATGATAGGAGACCTATCTGTGAGGCATTGCTCAAGGAGCTCAAAGAACAATTGAATGCATTCAACGCAATTGTATCAAGTTTCTCAACATGTAACACATCGAATTTATCCGAAGTCCAACATCATTGGAATATTTTGAATCGCGAAATTACACGACTTGAACTTCATTTACCCATTTACGCGCGACATCTAGATTTGATTGATCCAAATATTTATGGGCGTGTTCTTATACTAAAAGCAGATACCGGGTCTGGCAAGAGTACACAACTAGTTCAATATTTAGCTGATGCCTTGTTGGCAACACAAGGTTTTTTTTTAAGCTTTCGTCATTTTCGTGTGTTGTTTCATTTAAATTTTAGGACAAATTATTTGTACTCAACCTCGACGTTTAGCTGCACGAGCATTGGCTTCTCGAGTTGCTGAAGAGTTCGGATGTAAATTAGGCGAAGAGGTAATATATCAATTGCTAGTTGATTCCGACTTGTAAACATATGTAGTTAACAGTTGTGAACAAGTCTTAGTTTATTGGTATATGTCTAGGTTGGCCTTCATATTGGCGTTAGCCGTGCACTAGTATCAGCCCGAACTCGAATTCGCTTTGTAACTGAAGCCGTTTTATTAAATGAATATTACAATGATCCTATGTTGACAGCCTATTCGGTAGTCATAATCGATGAAGCTCACGAACGAAGAATCGATACAGATTTACTCTTAGGCGCGATGAAAATATGTTTGAAACAACGCAAAGATATTAGGGTAAGTAAATTTAAGTTATATTGTTATTCAATATGCTTTTTGTATAAATCCACCAGTGAAAATATTAAGTATAAATTAAATCAGTTTCAAAGCTAAAATATAAATACTATCAGTTTTCGATTAATTCTTGATAAAAATGAAGTTTATTTCTCTCTCTGTTATTTTAAAACAAGAAATTCTAACATATGTTATAAGTTGATCATTCGGAAAGTTTTCATTGAGACACGAAAATCTCAAAATAACTACAGAGTTTTACCACTGAAAAGCCTACAAAAACACGAAGCATCTGGTAAGGTTATTATGATACGATGAATACTTTCTCTAATAGTGTAACTACTGAAGTTTCGAGAGAAATAAAAAAATTGAAATATTTCGCGTGATTTCTTTAGTTTTAATTTGTCCAAGTAGAATTTAAAATTTAAAGACTGCTCTGAAGTTTTCTCGCCTTATACTCATGATAAATTTGCAAAGCAAAGCATTTTCTATAGAAAGTTACTGATGCTTTTTTTCATAGTTGATCATCATGTCTGCTACTTTGGATGATAAACTATTATGCAACTATTACAATGATGCCTGCTTCATGAATATTCCCGGGCGAACTTTTCCAATAGAAGATGAATATGCGAGTGAAGATCCTGAAGATTATGTAGATGCAGCCATTAAAAAGACTTTTGAAATTCTTGCAAGTGAACAATCGGGAGATATTCTTGTCTTTCTCACAGGACCCGAAGAAATCTATCGTGCTATCAACCAAATCAGTTCAAATGTTAAACGCTACGGTTCGATTCTTCTCCTACCGTTGCATGGTAAATTAAATGAAGAGGAAATGAACTTAGTGTTTAAAGCATCTCCTAATAGAGAACGTAAAATCATATTTGCTACTAATGTGGCTGAAACATCCATAACTATTGATGGAATTCGTCATGTGATTGACTCTGGTATGGTCAAAGAAATGATGTGGGATCCACAAAGCAAAACGCGAGCACTAAAAGTAGGCTATACTACGCAAAGTTCTGTCATGCAACGACGTGGCCGAGCTGGACGAACTGCTATAGGAAAAGTAAGTAATTAATTCGACTAGATTTTATCTTGTTTTTATATGAAACACATGTATAAGCAAAACAAAATAGATTAATGCAGTGGAGAGCAAGGCCGATATTCGTATCTTATGATTAGGGATGAATTATCTAGACATAGATGTTCATAAGTTGAAAATAGAATTTCATGAATACGAACATTTGTCACTCAAATATTTATCAAATGTCTGTACAATTAGTTGTAATATGGTTTTCATACTCCGTACAATTTTACGACTTGATCGTGAATTTTTCTAGAAAAGAATAACGTAAGAACTGCTGTTGCCAGCGTTTACTATTTTCATATTGAACAAACAAGAAGTTTTGGAATGTATAGAATCGAAATTTATTTTTCTGTGTCCTCCCAGATCATACCAGTGCATTTTCCTCTTGTTTCACATTTTAATCCCACAGGCATTGTGTCAACAGCTTTCTTTCAAATTATTTAGTGTTATCATTTGTACACAATCGATACTTATGAATCATTGGAAGTGTGTCCTCGAGCTGAAATTCTTTGTATTCGACCTAGTATAGCTGTTCTCAAATTAAAATATCTTGGCATAGGGGATGATGTATCAGAATTCGATTGGTTGGAGCCACCTACTAGAGAGAGTATTCAAGATGCGGTCGATAATCTGATGGCGCTGGGTGCTCTCGATCCGAAAACAAAAAAATTGACTGAAATCGGATGGACTATGGCAAAACTAGGTCTTGAGCCCATGCTTTCGGCCATGATTTTAACTGGAGAAAAATATAACTGCCTCAGTTATGTGCTAGCTCTTGCAGGTATGCTGCAAATCTCACAGAATGTGTGGTGGCGCGGTAAAGATGACGAGTCGAAACAATTGGGAGAAGAAATACGAGCCCGGTTTGCTCAAGATTTGAATATCGGCGGTGATCATATAGCATTACTTCGTCTGTATCTTGAATGGAATGCTTTGGGTGACGATAGAAGGAATAATGAAAAATGGTGTCGTGAGCATATGATTAACGGAAAAGCAATGAGGATGACAGATAATTTCATTCGAGAGATAGCATATCAAATGAAATGTAATTTTAAAATTGAGTTGACCAAGCTGAATGACGATCTAATTCAACGAATTTTGCGCTGTGTGTGTGCCGGCTTCTTTCAACAATTAGCCATAACCAATGGAAATCTTCGTGCTGGCTATAGACTGATAAATAAGTCTAGTAAGACATTTGCACGAGTACATCGATCGTCTACACTGACATTCGTTGAAAAAACGCCAAAGTTTATAATCTATCATGATATACTTATCATCAATGAAACTACCTATTTGACGGCACTGTGTCCAATCGATTTCGATTGGCTAGATAAGTCTTGGTTAGCCACCATGCCGCAACTGACGCTTCAAACTGTTATCAAAAGTCACGTCTTTGAAAATCTTGGGCCAGCACTTTTGCTTTCAATTGTCGGAAAGAAATGTCAACATAGACCATGGCTTGAAGAATCGTTCAATGTACTCCTTGATCCAAACTATGAACAATCACGAATTACAATATGGGGCGAACAGAGAATGCTTGCTAATGCACAACAACATCTCGAACGAATTATAGATCAAGAACGAGGAAAACTTCGTACTGAAGTAAAAGAATATCAAATTATTGGATCGACCAGAATTTTACTGGGGGCAGGTGGTCAAACTGAACTGGTTCTGGTTAAAGACGAATATGTTAAAGTATTGCTTACTCGACTACCACCAAATGTCACTGAAAAGCAAATTGAAGAAAAATGTCTTCCGTATGGCAAAGGTAAAACTATGAAAAACGATAAGTTCATTCAAATTTATGAGTATCGAAGAAGTAACCAAATTGTAAGCAGACATTCTTCGAGAATGTCAATCGATGAGCATTAGCTCAGTTACAAATTTAGCACATTAGCACTCTCAACAATTGTGCAGAACGCTCGTTGTCCTTTAATTAATTGTTGTCATAGGAAACTTAGAACAATTCTCTATGTCTGAATTTATTTATTTACAGTGCGAAATATTGTTATACTTCGAAGAAACCAGAGTGGAAGTCTAGCTTCGGTCACTTTTTACTCATGTGACAGTGCTCGATCAGCAGTTACTAATTTGTCGCATCAAATATGGGATGGCAGAGAATTAAACGCGAATCCTAGCCAAAAAAATGTGTCAATTCATACAGGAAGACAAAACTGTAAATTGAAAGTTCAATGGTTTATGACGAAATCTCAATGTTCGGCACGAGTACAATTCAGTCAACAGGAAGCAGCCTTTAAAGCTCTTGAATTCTTCGAAGAAACACGAAAATTTCGTTGTCGCATTGAACCAATTACAAGTAATCCAACAATTAAATGTTCTTGCTCATTAGCGGTGCACACGGGTAAAGGCATGATATTTTTTCAAACTGCTGAACAAGCTCAGAAAGTAAGACGTCATAGATTTCATTCATGAAAAACTTCTAATTTCTATCTTATAAGCAAAATAAAAGGTACGAATCAATACTCATCTGTATCTTTGATATCATTCTATTCATAGAATAAAAGATTTTTCCAAAAAAATATTATAATGCTGCATTGGAATCAGCAGCATTAGAAGTCTAGCTTAGTTCGATTCTGATCTAGCCAATTGAGATGAGACAATTTGAAATAAAAATTTTGAATCAGAAACAAATACTTACATTAATCTAAGTTGCGACGCTGAAAACACAACATAGCAACATGATGAAACAACTAATGAATCCGTCTTCGTCTCTTCTGTTTTTTATCATAATTTATCTCACATTTCCATTCATTTTAGGTACTTAAATGTGATAATTCATCTCCGTTTCATCTCCGAAGAAATCCCAAAGATGATTTATCTCTATGGATAGAAAACGTACCGGCAAATCTGGATGAATATGATTTAAAAAACAGTTTCATTAATATTACTGGAGTGACGTTGCAGCGAGGTTTCCGCAGAATAGCACTTGCACAACTCAGTGTAATTGAAGATGAACTTCGTCGACTGTTCAATTCATATCGATCGTTTCAACGTGAATTAGTCGCTGTTATGCCACAATCTAAAAAGGGTGTGCTAGAAGCGTATGTTCAATTTACTGATGAACGAGATATGCAGACCGCTATTGAGAACCTGAACAACAAGCCAAATTTAATTGGTTCAGGCAAATTGAGACTTTCAGTTTACAAATATCAGTTTCCAAAGAAGCCGACTAAAGTGGCGGATAAATCAGCATTTCTTATCAAGCTCTACCAGTTAAAAGCTGACATTGACGAAGAAGTTCTCATTCAAGATCTCAATCAGCATCGTTTGGGTGATTACATAATAGATGTTAATGTTTTTCGCGAATCATTACCAAAATATCCATCTCGAGACGCATCAGAAACTAGGTCTGAAGAAGATGAAATTAACCTGATTAAGCTGCAATCTCTATTCAGTGATCGTAGAAAGTTTCGTTCTGCGCCGGATATTCAAATTCGTCCAGCTACAAACGATGGTCGCGTTGTGGCATTCGTTCTGTTTGATCATCCTAGTGATGTTATAACGGCTATGCACATGTATGAAACACCAGACGATCCTAACCTTTTGAAATTTGGCGATTATAAAATGCGGTTAATACCAATAATTGATCATACCATTGAGCTTAATGCAGCGCTAACTCGCGCTATACCAAAACAAATTGAGCACGCCATTGAAACGATTAAACGCGACCCGATATTATCAAACATAGCTTTAATTAAAAAGATCCCGCTAAAGAATCAACAAGAGATTACCCGAATTTCAATTAAAGGAGCCAGCATTCAAAAAATTTATAAAGCTCGTGCCATCTTCGAAGAATTGATGAAAGGTCTAATATTCAAATTTGCAGAGCCTTCATGGGTCAGTATTCTATCATCATCATCATCGTCGATTTTAATCCAGCTACCTTTCTCCTCCTTGCAGAAATATATAGTTGCTAGTTGTTCCCAAAAACGGAAATTTCTGTAAAAGAAGAACTCAATTAATTTACATCGATAAGATTAGTTCAGACTCTAGACATAGCTATTGTCTGCCAAAAGAATTTATCTATTGATAATAAATATGATCATAATATTTTAGGTTTCAGTTATTTTTGATGTAACGGGTAAAACGTTTCTACAGAAGGTTCAGGACCGCACCGGTACATATATTTGGTGGGACTGGAGGTCGACATTCTTGAGAATTTTCGGTAACGACCAAGCCAGTAACAAAGCCTATCAAGAGATTAATGATTACATTCACGAGACACTTGATCAAAACAAGTATTCAGTTCCTATTCGTATTCCAGAAGGTTTGTAATAAAAATAGCTGTATTATCTATCTGATACCTTAATATCCTCACTATTTAAGGTTGCATCCGTCAATCTATTGAGCAATCAAGCGAACTCCGTCGTATGGGCAATGAAGAAGTTAAAGTTACTATTGATGTATTAAAGCGTCTCATTATTATCAATGGAGATAAAAATAAAGTACTCGAATGTGAGCGAAAAATAAAAGATCGGCTTGGCAGTTATTTACCAGAATATGTTCATACTACTACTACTGCTGCTGATTTTCAACATTTGGCGATACCAACCAATGAAGAACGTGTATGCTCTATCTGTTTATCTGGCTTCAAGTCGCCATACTACTTACAACCATGTGGGCATACGTTTTGTCGATTATGCTTACAAAATTATTTTGAAAACATTTATAACACAGATGCTTTGCATTTATGTTGCCCATTAGACACGTGCAAAGTGGAATGTGTCATTCAGGACATTGAAGCTATACTTGGCTTTGAAAAAATGTCTTGTCTAGCTAAGATTGCTTTTCAAATTTATATTGGTCGCCAAGAAAGTGATCTCAGTCAGTGTATTGGGAACAATTGTGATCAGGTACAATGATTTTCCTCATTGAAAAATAATTTGAAATCATCCTCAACGTTGCCTAGCAAAGTAAAACCGTTTCGGATCCCATTTAGAACCACTCAACTGGTAATCCGTAAAAATAGAGTGGCATGTAAATTTTGATGTAATAAGAAAAAAAATCCACGTTCTCAAAATTCATTACCTTTGAAATGTTTTATAAAATTAATTTTCGAAATGTATCCAATAGTATTCGAGGGTTGACAACTAGCAATTGCTGATTTTCAGAGATGTTATCAATACTAGTACGAAAAGTTCTCAGGAAAATGAAAATGCGTGCAAAAGCAGAAAATATTACGAATATTATATTTTATTTTAGCACCCATTACATGGTCCGGAAACCTAGTTAATCTAAATTTTCTAGAAAACTATTCCTAGCAGAATGTCTTCTTCTTTTTTTTTCTTCAGGTATATCGCCCATCACAATATTCCTCGAGTTATCACTGTGATCAATGTAACGAAAACTATTGCATACCATGTAAAGTTGAATATCATTTTGGTATGACCTGTACACAATATAAACAACCTGAGCGCGAACTAAATCAAAAATTTCTCTCGACTAACAATTGATTTAATTAATTTTGAAACATTATTATTAATCTCGAACATACACTTTGAAAAATAAATTGACTGAGATGCAGCTGTTGTATAATAAACTTAGTTTAGGGATACTTATTAGGACAGGCTCGGAGTAGGTTCGCGCCTGTATGTAAATGAAGGGGTGTGGGTCTGAATGAGCATTGTAAAAGAAGTCACATCCACACCAAATAGAGATAACTCGCTAAAAAATATTTTGAAAATAATAGCATAAAATGAACCTAACGTATTTATGTTATGATTGAGAAGCTCCATTTTTTTCTGTTTTGAATTCATTCACTTAGTTTAGAATGTGATAACATCACTTGTTCGACACAGAACGATAAAAAACAACAACATAAAAGACCGATAACAACGGAGCGATACGTGTCTTAAATTGATAAAACTAAATTTTTAATGGATGAATTTTAAAACCACAGAAAAATTCTTTTTTTTTAATGGGGCTTATCATAAATCGAGATCTATTAATTTCTTCGTAAGTATTGGAATACAGATAAATTTAAGATATTTTTTCGTATCTATGTTATCATCTTTGTACAAATATTTGCCTTGTATCTTCTCTTTGATTCATATTATTATAACCGTAGAGTTATCTTGTTGAAAATTGATTTTTCCTTATGTGTTTCTACTTGCAGAACAAATCTACAAATGAATTTGATATTTTCTATAAGTTTTGCATTAACATTTACTTTAATTCATTGTTCTATTCCAAAGACAATTCAATCTCCTGATGAAAATCAATTTGAATTGTCGAATGAATATTTAACGGTTCAGTTTAATTTAACCAATGGACAAATAACATCATTTTATTATAAATCAGAATTAATTACAATAACCAATGAAACAAGTTTCATTTTTCTCGATAATATTTCAGTTGATTGTTCAAAATTAATAAACTATAAAGAAGATATGAATTCAATTAATTTTACTTATTCTTGTTCCAATAAAACAAATTATGAATTAATAATAATCTATACATTAAAATTCGATTGGGAATTTTTACAAAAGCAAATTTCTTTTGAAAATATAGATAATAAAAGCATAACATCCATTGAAACAACATTTACATTGACGAATAAAATGATTTCATCTGTTTCGATTGTACAAAATAAACAAGATTTAAATAAACAACATACAGTTTTCTTACGAACGAAACTAACAACATTAGGAATATTCGCAACATGGCAACATCCATTCGGCTCCTATACTGTTACGTCAAATAATCAAACAGTAACAAGTTCATATAAAATAGGAATAAATAAATCCTATTTAAGCGAAGGATTTCTTATTGGTTTCTATCAATTATCTCCTTATTGGCATACAAATGACATTAATTATGCCGAACGACGAGCTTATGAAAACGCAACAAATTTCTTTTATCCTATTCCACAACGTCAACAATCAATAAAACATGCCGTTGGTTGGGATAGTAATGATTATCAAATTGATATTTCAACATCACATGGCGTCGATGAATATAAACGTCTAATTGATCGTTGTTCACAGCTTGGTATAAAAAGCTTAACATTCGCACCATCAAATACAAATGTGTCAAGTCGTCAACAATCTACTGATGATTGGGGTTGGGAATCTATTTTATGGTTATCATTAGGTGAACAAATTCGCTTAGAACAATGGAAACCGTATCGAGATCCAATGCCTTTAACAATTCAGCACATGCTAGATTATGCAGAATTTAAACAAGTTAAATTAGTTCCATATGTTTATCCACCGTTAGGTTATAGATCCAAAGGAAAAGATCAAGCATGGCTATTTCCAAGTTCACATTGTAAAGATGTTTGTGCATCATTAGCAAGTGTAGAATTTCAACAATATTTTCTACAATTATTAATTGATTTTGCGCAAACTACAGGTAATGAATGTTAAATTTCAAAATTAACCGTGCAGAATCTTCTTATTTCTGATAAAATAAATATTCTGGTGTATTTTTATATAGGCATTGGTGGGTATGCATGGGATTACAATTTTTTTTATGACACTAAAAATAGCGAATATAGTCAATGGCGCGGTTGGCAGTGGATTCGCACTGAATTACTTATTGCTCTGCCTTACTTAATTATGGATCATCGTTATGCATCTCAGTTCGATGGTCCATGGTCATGGATAACTTTAAACGGCTATACATCACCTTTATTGAGTGATGAAAATCCTGAAACATATCCAATCTTACATCCATCGTTACACACTGATAAAATTTCTGCAGATTTTATGCGTCAAGGAAATGTTGAATTACGTTTAGAACATTTTTCATCAATGGATAGCATTCCTGGTTTTATTGGACATCAAACAGAACGTTTAGCATCAGATGGAAGTCTACCATGGGTCGATAATAATTTGAGAGATTTTGATTTAATGGGTTTCTCCTATTCATTATTATCTAATATAGCAACAGCTGGTTTAAATCTTATTCATACATTTATACCAGCACGAGATTTAGAAGAATTCTATTTTCTACCGGAAGAATTAATAGAATTTTGGTCTTATTGGCTGAAATGGACAGATGAACATGTAGAAGAAATTCGTAATAGTATACCATTTAATACGGAACAGGATTGGTCTTTGATGAGATCAAATGGTATTGACGGATTTTTATTTTTATTTAATCCAAATTATAAACAAATGAACCGAACGATTTTATTTGATGGAAAATTAAATGTAAAAAATCCCCAACAACAAGGTTATTGGTTACTAAAAGAAATTTATCCACAAGAAAGATTTATACAATTCATAGAATATAATCAAACAAATCAATTTTTATTAGATGGTCAAAGTGTTACAGTGTATCAATTAATATTTATTCCAATAATTGATCAACCAATTCTTGTTGGCATTAGCGGACAAGCTTTTGTAACAAATCAAAATACTATAATTATTAATGGAGTTTATGGCGAAGCTGGCACACAAACAAACAATCCTATGTTTATTATCTTACCAAATCAAGAACTCATATCCAAGGTTTTATTAAATGGAAAAGAACAGCGATTTCAACAAAACAATGAAATCATTTCTTTACTTGATTCTTTATCATTTCCTGGTTTATATTTGCCACGTTCAGCAGAAATTCTTAATAATACAATAATGATTAGTGATTTATTATTGCAGCAATTATCGGAACGTCAATTAGAATATCCAATTCAATGGACGGGAAAAGAATTAAATGATGCATCATGGTTAGGACCACAGCGCCTTCTATTATTTATATGTATTCAAAATCCAAACGATCAATGGAATATAACTGCTCAAGTCAATAATAATCCAATCATTGTACACAAAGCTTATAATACACGTGATCATTATGAACAAAATCGATTTATGGGATTTTATTTAGATTTAACAAATATTGTTAAGCAATCAAATGTTAATTATTACTTATCGTTAAATATGCCGCCTCTTAGTCCAGAACAATTTCAAGGATTATTTTTAGAAAATATTGAAAGAATTTTTGTTGAAGCATAAATTCTTTTTGTTCTGTATCTGCATTGAATTTAATAAATCAGTTCTTATAAGACTGGAACCATAGTCATCATTAGATTCAATCATTTGTTTTTATTCAATACATTCGAAATATCCTTCTCAACAGTGAGAAATGTAGAAAAAAAACATTCCGCAATCCTATCACTCTGTTATGTTCTCGAGCCGGAAACTTGTAAAGTATTTTCATACTATATATGGGGACAGAGTTGATTGCAATCAAAGCATGAGCCACGTTTTATATTGATCTAATTATGTTAATTAGAAATACGTATTTCACTTAACACTGAATGGGTACTATAATAATTATTTGCATATTATATCGATCACTTTCATTTTTATTCTCGATTAGTAGCTTCATTACTTTCGTTTCGCTTCAATTTTTATAGAACTTCCTTTAGAATCAACATAATTACAACTTTCGTAAAAGAAACTGCAAAATAGTTGACCAACCACTCGCTTTGAGTAGAGATAAAAAGTGTGATAACAGTATGGATGTGTATTAATAACTTTCCATTCATACATATCTCATTTTAAATAAGGTTCTGTTATGTATGTGCGATGTTGATTACAGAGTGACCAGTTAGAATGTCAACAGATGCCTCACCAGCGCGTGTAGAGAGGAGACGAGGTTGATCCCCTTCATAATAAATAACCATTTTCTCCCATCCAGCCCTCCATTCCAAAGAACATCCTTCGGAACAACCTTCATTTAATACTTCATTCAGTGCAGCCTGACCATTTGACTTCTTGTACGAGAGTAGATACTTCTTATGTTGCCATCTGAATGGTAGTAAATGAGTCCAATTCGATGCCCAATTCGCTTTCCATACCAACTTTGAAATTCTATGTTGTTGTATTTCAAAGAATTCTACTTGCCCATTTCTGTATTCTAATAGATGAGATCCCCAATTAGCAAAGATCGTGCTGTTTGCCATGGCGAGTGAAATGCTTAACCGTTAATAATTAATTTAAATCAAAGCCTGAAATCATTAAACAAAACTCATGGATGTAAGGCACTTGTGCGAAGAAGCCCAAAAACGAGAGCGAAAATACTTTTACCACCAAGTGAAAAAAATACAACAATCAATGCTGGTTCAAAATTGAACCTAGTGTTCCCTATTTGTCTTTGAGAGATCTTATGTGACTTCTGTTTGAATTTTTTCTTAAGTAACATATCCTCTCACTCTTCTATTCATTTGATGAGGTATGCAACTGTTGACACTTACCTGAGGTAATATTTGAAGCGCCGTGTAACAGAAATGAAGAACCATAATTTTTACAAAATAAAATAGAAAATGGGGACTGCGCAAGTATCCACGTAGATAAGAAACGCATTGCAGACACAGCGGGATGTGCCAACGTTTCTTACAGACACTTAGAGAACCTGTATAGGTTTTAGATACTAGGTAAAATGAATGCAAATAATACGTTTACTGTGTTGTTTTAAAACGCGTCTGGGCGCATTCATACTTTCAGCGACTCATAACGATGAAACATTAATAGAAGTTATCTAAACTTTGATAAGTGCTGCCGAATTGTTGAAATGAATAAAAACGTGTTAGAGAACAACGTATGTGAGTGCATAAAAACAATAATTACTGGAAATAAAACGCTATCTTGAAGAAAAAGAGTATACATGAAGCGAGTTATATACCAAGAGAAATACCTTTTAGTTGAGTCAATTTTTTTATTAAGTGGAACAAAAATAATAAAGTAAAATACGAGTCACCAAATCATTCTTCATCACGTAATTATATCTCAAGAGCAATAATAACTAGTTTTTCGTAAATTTTTTACTTGACGGTATTTATCTTATACGTATGTTCTTTTTATTGCAACATGTAATCATCTAGAATCACAGTAAGAGTCTAGCAGAGAGATTTTTGAAAAAAACCCACAGCTTTGTTTATCACATCCATAATGGCTCGACGATATTCTTTATTTTGAATTGTTGTATTCAAATTGGGGTGTGTGCGTAATATTGAGTCGCGAGTTAAGTTAAGAGTATCACTATTAACTATTCTAAATTTTTTTCTACATCATAACCATCTGCATGCTAACATTTTCAACGAAGTTATTGCTTGGCTTGTGCTTGTGTGTTATACAAGATTTGTTATGCTTAATAGATATTCAACTCAAAAATTTAGTAACAATGATTTAATGATGGAAAATCTGTGCTGTTAAATTTTATGAATAGAATAGGGGAGATTTTACATATAGCTTCCTTCATTCTCAAAAGTATCAATTACTACAATCCAAAGCATTAAAAAGGATTGCATGTTCTTTGTTTGCTGTTACTGTAACGGTGCTTTGGCAAACTGCATCGTATCTGTTATTAATAAAAAGCAAGAGAAACAAGAATGGTTTAAGAGAATGAAACAAATTTGTTAGTAATACATACGCAATTGATCTGTCGAATAATTTTACATGAAGGCCAGAACTTGCAATGTCATTAGCGAACGGACCACTCAAGCTGAACACTACAAAACAAATAGGTTTTTAGTTTGGAAAAACATCGACATTCGCATAATTACTGACAAGTTTTTCCTTTGTTAAAATATATGATAGCATAATTTATTTTACCCAAATCAGCATGAAAGCTGAATACATATCGGAGAACATCTCCTGTGTTTATGTCTGCATTCGATCTAAAATCGAAACAATGAATGAAAAGTTTCAACTTTTTCATTGTATTCTAGTCTTTTTACTTTTAAGTGTGGATGTGGGTGTGGGTATTTTGTTACTATGTATTGTTCTACACCCCCACACTCTCATAAATTAGATGAAGATCTGTTGAACCAGATAGTACATCTTTGTTTTTGTTATGGAATAGTTGCATTATGCATGAAAATCGAACATTTAACATGCTAGAGGAGTTGTGCAGCACATTGTGATAATATATAGTTTTTGTTCTTGAATAATTTTACTTGAACGTCATGAATCATTGTGACATAGGTTGGTGCAGGAACGTATTGACGAATGCATCTTTTTCGATTCTAATATTTGTATTTGAGCAGAATATATGTCTATGTGTACTCAACGATGATCTCCTGCAATTTAAAAATAATGAAAAATTCATCTGTCAGTGTTTCATAAAATTATGACAACAAACCTCCCGAAGGTTTTTGAATTTTTTTTTAACTTAAAAACTCTTATTTTTCAATGGCATGCACACAATCTGTTAGCTGGGGTTGGATCCGTCCTATACTTCCTATAATTCCTATGAAAAATGAAAAATAAAGTGCACTATTGCTTAAAAAAGCTTTTCTAATCAAAGTTTTGAGGTTTTTAAACAAATCGATTCGATACCTAGTGATTCTTTCATATACTTCGAATGTTTTATAGGGACATTCTTTTAAATACAATTCCTTTTCACACTATCAAGCAGACTAAATTTTTTTTAAAAAGTGACGCTTAATTAAATAATATTCAAACAAAGTAAGATAGTCTTTACAAATGTTTGTATGCCTTTTAGAATCTTTTATTGTTTTCTGTTACATGCACGTACGTGAGGGTGGGTGTGGGTGTGGGCGATGGGAGAAGACACACCCACACCCTCGAGATAGCTACATGGGGACGATTGGTGTTGATTTTTATAAGTTTCCTATTCGAGAAGAGAATCGTTTTGATTGTGTATTTTGTGGAAAACTCGGATGACGAATCATAATGTAAAAACAATAAAATTGGTGATTGTAAGTCGAGTTCTATGATGATAATTTTGAATGATTTGTGATTTCTAGTGGGATACAGCTGGTCAAGAAAAATTTCAAACTATTGCAAGTAATATCATATTGGTAATTTTTGTTTCTCCGTAGTCGAATATGTTTTCGTGTTCAGGTAGTTACTATGGAGGTGCTCATGGTATCATCATTGTTTTAGACGTAACCAATTCGGCAAGAGATTCAAATATTGTTGCTGTTTTTCATTGGTAATTTCATAGGAATGGTTTGAAAACGTCAAAATATGGTTGGGTGAAATCGATCGATATGCAAATGGAAATGTCAATACTTTTTTGGTTCGAGATAAGTGTGATTTGTCATTGGCACGACTCATTAATCAAGCATAAGCTAAAGTATACAAAAGAAGAAGATTTAGGTAATATTGTGTATTGTTTATTAAGAGTTCGCAAGTTCATCAAGGATCTTGCATATAGAAACATTGGCGAAGAATTGAACTAATATTGATCAATTGTTTAAGAATGTCTTAAGTGAGATCTTACAGGACAAATCCCAGGAAAACACTCATATAGTACTTGGTGGACAAAGAAAGTCTGAGAAATCTTCAAGTGGTATTTGTTCATCATAAAAAAAACGTCATTATATTGGTCTCAAATATTTGTTTTCTATATTTCACTTCATATGATCTTTCTTTTTTGTCATTTAAATAGAATTCTGTTCAAGCACATGAGAAATCCATTAAGTTTTCCGCCTTTAATATTGAACTAAGTTTTTGCATTAGCTGATGAATTGTATGCCTAGTTAATATTGCTTGACATCATATACCTGTATGTTTTTCTTTGCTTTCTCACAAGTGGTCGTTTTCTTGCTTTTTTTTTATTCCGAATCGCATGACTTATTTTAAGTTTTCCTCATCACAAGCGATTGCCCTCAGAAAATGCCTTGTTCTCTACTGATCACACACAAAAACAAATCTTCAGTTTTGCAATTTACGCGCGGCTGTTTTTTGCGTTCCTTCATTTGCGGTGCATACTAACACGTAAACGTTGAGTCATAGCGTATATGACTGCGTGGCATTCGTCAAGCGACAATAAAATCACATTGAAAATTTCTAGACAAAGTAGAATGAAGATTCCAAATGGCAACTAATGACAAGTGAGTGGTTATTTCGTTTACACACAAACTCTCTGTTCATTTTAGTGACCGATATGCTCAAATGTTACTCATCGGTGATTCAGGCGTTGGTAAAACAAGCCTTTTAAAGCGCTTCACTGTTAGTCATGTCTATTTTCTTATGAGATAATTCATAGCTTCCATTTTTTAAGCTTGATATATTCGATGAGAGTTTTCATCCAACAATTGGAGTTGAATTTGTGAGTGTCTGCTTTTATTTTGCTGATTGCCACGAGTATGAATATTTGTATTGTATATTCAGACAACGAAGTCTGTCACAATTAATGGAAAAACATTGAAATTACAAATTGTAAAGAATTAAAATTTGTATTACAATAGAGAAAATTATTCAATCTAAATATTTCAGTGTGATACAGCATTTCAAGAACGATATCGAAGCATTACAAGTATTTTTTTCTGAATTCTGCGTTAACATAAAATCATTTCATATTTTCAGACGCTTACTATCGTGGCGCACAAGCTGTCATCATTGTTTTTGATGTTACGAAAGCTGTATGCAATTTGAAAGATCATTTCTTCTTCTCAAGTTATTCTATTTCAGGAGTCATTCGATAATCTCAAAATGTGGTTGGAAGAACTCAATCAACATTTAGACCAAAGTGTAAAAAAGATATTAGTCGGCAATAAATATGATTTGATCTATGACAGAGTCGTTGGTCGTGAAACAGCGCAAGTATGTGAAAGATCATCAACGTAAATATTTCGAGCTATCTTATTTAGAAATTCGCTGATTCCTTGAATATTCCATACGTGGAAACATCAGCGAAGGGATCAATGAATGTCGAAGAAGCGTTTAACATTCTGTTGACTCAGATTATGTCGATTCCTGAAGCAGCGTCATCGGAGAAGACCGCTCAACAAGAACCAATTCTAGATACAGCAACGCATACACCTGAATAGTAATTCGTTTTACAATAACATTATTTAACGATTATATGCATACATTTTAGCTATCATCTATTTAAAATAATTCTAGTCGGAGATTACAATGTTGGAAAGACGTCGCTGCTGTTGCGTTTTGTCGTAGATATTTTACACTATTTGTCTATCTCAAACTATCAATGTTCTTCTTTATAGGATGACACATTCAATGAAAATTCCATAACAACTCTCGGCGTTGATTTTGTAAGTTTTTCTTTCGAGAAAGACAACGAAACGCAACGTTTTTCTCGAATTCCCATAGAAATGTCGAACGATCAAAATAAACGGGAGAAAAGTCATGCTACAGATGGTAAGTATGCTTATTTCGTAGGTGTACAATCTTATTTTCTGTCTAGTGGGATACAGCTGGCGAAGAAAAATTTGGAACACTTCAAAGTAAAATTTAGTTAGAAACTTTAGTGAAATACGTTATCTTCTTTTTAGGTCGATATTATGAAGGTACTCATGGTGTTATAGCGATCATTGATCTTACGAATGAGGTATGCTATATGAGTAATATCGTTTCACTCAATATGCCGAGTTATTTCTATAGCAATCCTTGGAGAACATTCTTAAGTGGGGTGAGGAATTCGATCGACATCGACTAGACGCTACAAGCGTTGTAATAGTTGGTAACAAATGCGATTTGACACATGAAAGAGTTATCGCTGCTGAAACCATCCAAGTACGTAGAAAATTGAGTGATAAATTCGCTGAATTTGTCTTATTGAGTTTGCTAGAAATTTGTTGAATCGGCTGGTGTAAAATATATAGAAACATCGGCGAAAAATTCGATTAATGTTGAACAAGTGTTTCAAGCGATTGCTACCGAAATTATGTCTACTCTTCAACAAGCAGAATCGCCACCAGAATCTAAGCCAGTGGAAACTCCTACACCGGTCAAACAGAATTAGTAAGTCGGTTATGATAATATGATTTTTCGACTGTCATAGAGAAATATTTTAGCGACTATCTATGTAAACTAATCGTCGTGGGCGATGCTGGGGTCGGCAAGTCATCGATCCTGTCGCGCTTTGCTGTAGATATATTTTGAAATATTTTTTTCTCAAAAACTTTCGAGATTTTCAATGTAGGATAATACCTTCGATGAAAGCTACCTTGCTACGATCGGTGTTGACTTTGTAAGCTTTTTACTCTATCATGATTTAATATATAAAATTTATGCAGAAAATTTCCAAAATCGAGCGGAATGGAATAACAATTAAACTTCAAATAGTAAGTCTATTTTGGTAATGTGAATGATAGAGTGTGTTTCTTTAGTGGGATACAGCTGGGCAAGAAAGATTTCGGACTATCATAAGTAATCATTATCGAGGTGCACAAGGTTTCATCATAGTTTATGATGTTACAAACGCTGTAAGTCATTTGCGTTTAGTTTTGTTGCTTTTTCATTGTCTCATGCTTCTTCTTCTTCAGCAATCGTTTGAGAACATTAAAGTGTGGTTAGATTCAATCGATCGAAATGCAAATGAAAACGCAAAGAAGTTATTAGTCGGTAACAAATGTGATTTAACATCCAGCAGAGTTGTTGATCAGACTGCTGTTCAAGTATGTTGAATCACTTTAATAGAAATTCAACAAGCTGTTTTCTTAGAAATTCGCTGATTCACTACACATTCCATACGTCGAAGTATCGGCGAAGAGTTCGGCTAATATCGAGCAGGTATTTGAAATCATGGGAAATGAGTTTATGTCGACTCTTCCGCTAACTCTCGGTCAGCAATGCGAAAGTAAAACAGTTAAAAACACAGCTTCGGCTACAAATGAACCGTAAGGGATTTATCATGGCACTCACAGAATAAAACAAAACAAAGTATTTCTAGGAACTATTTGCTAAAATTGGTCATCATCGGAGATTCTGCTGTTGGCAAATCGTCGTTACTCTCACGTTATGCGGTAAATAACTTTCCATGCGTTTGTCTTCGAAGCTATTGTTATTCTATTTAGAATAATACCTTCAATGAAAGCTTTATTCCAACCATTGGAACTGATTTCGTACGTTTTTCGTTCGGAAATATAATCGTATGAATCATCATCTGAAATGATTTCAGGCATGTCGTACAATACAAGTTGATGGAAAAACAACTAAAATATCCTTTGTAAATATACGTCCCCAATGAATATCATGAAGAAATGTGTGTACGATTTTTCTAGTGGGATACGGCTGGTCAAGAACAATTTCGAACTATTACAAGTAATTTTTTTTTCATTGTCTGCAATTGAATAAGATGAATACGTTGGTTTTTCAGATAGTTACTATCGAGGAGCCGATGGCATTATCCTGATGTTTGACGTGACCGATAGAGTATGTTATTTGAACGATTACTATATTCTCTCTCTCTATCTCACTTGATATTAAATACCTGTTATTAAGGCATCGTTTGAAAATATCAAAATGTGGTTGCAGAATATTGAGCAGCATGCATCGAATAGTGTCAAGAAGTTATTAATTGGTAACAAATGCGATTTAGTATCACGCAGAGTTATCGATCACGACGCAATTAAGGAACTCGCTGAATCGTCAGGATTATCATATATGGAAACATCAGTAAAGAATGCAATCAATGTTGAGCAAGCAATCAGTAGCTTTGCTTCTGAAATATTAGCGACAAAAACAAATCCATTGCCTCGACTTGTATCAACAATAGTACAGACATCTCCTGTCAATCAAAAGTCTGAAAACAAATCTTTTGTCAGTACAAAATCGAACAACTCCGAATAGTAAGCTCATAATGAGATGATTTCTTTCTCATAGACAATATATTTTAGTGATTATTTGTTAAAAATTTTGTTGATTGGAGACTCTGGTGTAGGCAAATCTGCATTGTTGTTACGCTTTGTTGTAAATAGTTTTTAATGTAGCTCTTTTTGTATTCACCGATCGTTTTTTATCTAGGATGATACCTTCAGTGAAGCTTTTCTCACAACGATCGGAGTTGATTTTGTAAGTCTCGCTCTCGGATAGTGCGTGATTTATTCTTTAAAATTCTTGTAGAAAATTCGGACGATTGATTATCATGGGAAAAATGTGAAATTGCAGATTGTAAGTAGATAGTCATACGGTTCTTATTTTGAATATTATTTTTTGTTTCTAGTGGGATACAGCTGGCCAAGAAAGGTTTCGAATTATTACAAGTAGTACGTTTGTTATTTCTTTAGAAGTTTTTAATTCCGTATTTCTTTCAGATGCTTATTATCGAGGTTCACATGGTTTCATCGTAGTTTATGATATTACAAGTCTTGTAAGTGATTTGAATGTAATTCCGTTTCATCGGAGATTATTCTTTTGTTCTCAAGGAATCGTTTCAAAAAATCGAAATGTGGTTCAATTTAATCAAGGAAAATGCAAATCAAAACGCTAAAAAGCTTTTAGTCGGAAATAAGCGTGATTTGACATCGCAGAGAATTGTTGATTATGCACAAGGAAAAGTATGTAGAGTTCGAAAATATAGTTAACTTGATTATCTATGTGATGCTGTTTATCAGGAACTCGCTGACTCGTTAAACATTCCCTATGTGGAAACATCGGCGAAGAATTCGACTAATGTCAAACAATTATTCATGGATATGATAAGTGAACTCTTACCGAGTGTATAATCCAGATATCAGGACACAATTGAATTTTTTCCCTACTTTTATTCTCTGGATTTTTTTATTTGATATATACAATTGAGTGATATGCATCGAGTATATGAAAACTTATCCGCTAGGCTTGCATAAGTATATAAATGTTTCATAATATCTGTTCAAATTTGAGAAAAGAATCTCATCTTCATGTGGATAATGGCCAACATTTTTCAATGAAGCTACTTGTGACTTTTCACTACGCTCGAGCTAAGTCGAATAGGAGATAAAATGCGGAAATAAGTGTTCGGTACCTCGTTGATTAATTGAGAATGCATTTGTGATTACGCCACTTTGCGAACAGAGTGGTTTAAAACTAATCGTTTGACTTGTATTTTAACTAATATGTCGCTCGATTCGAAGCCAAATCGATTCACAATCAGTATTATTTCCATCTAGCACGATCGGTAAATCAGCTGACAACAGATCGATCTATCTTTTGAAGAAAAGTCAAATGCAATCAAATAGTCTCAAATTTTGCCTGTCAGCAATCTACTTTGTCGAAAAATTCAAAATCAACGAATAAAAAATGAAATGCAGAGCTAATTATGCCGACACGTTTCGTGTTATTTATTTAAACAATAAATCACTCATCAGGGCTCTGCATTTTCATTAGGAAGCAAAAGAAGCGAATCAATAAACTCTCAAAAAAAACTTGTATAATCAATAAAAAAAAAGCTTTAAATAAAACATGCGCAATCAATTACAGACAATTAAACACAATTAGAAAACAAATTCCTAAATTATCTGGCAAGTTCCTTGTGAAAGAACGGAACTTGTCGTGACTTTCTTTTTCACGATACACAACCGCATTCATCAATATTTGTTCAGACCCATGAAAGCAAATCCTGCAAGCAGTAACCATAAACTTTATTGTGCACCTGAGGGTGTGGGTGCGACTCCGCATGTGTCTTCTCCCATCACCCACACAACCACATCCACCCTCAAGATGCTTCAACTCCATAAAATGTAATGACAATGATGACGAAACTGCGGAAATGTAAAGAATAATTTTTATAATATACTACTAGTAGTTTTTATTTTCTTGTCTTGCTCTAGTGACGATGACGAAAGTACATCGGAAACAATTACACTGGAAGATGTCAAGACAAAAGTGATGATACTCAATAATAATATACAAGATACTATGTGGTTTGTTTAAATATACATGGTTGTCTTTTTTTGTCTATAATCATTTACTTGAGCGTGAAAAGAGAATAAAACAAATCTTGATCATTTTTTCGCAGTGTGTAAGAAAATAGAAAAATGTTCTCTTAGAAATTAATTTTACAATATCCGGTGGCATCATAAATATTATTGACTGAGTTGTGAAATTAGGCGTTCCAGTTGATGATTATTTTGAAGACTTTTATCTGTCACACTGGTGAACACAATGGCAAAGTGAGAAAAATATGTTTGATAGCTACTATCTTCATTCATTTAACTGAATTGTGGAGACATTTTAGGTACTTTCTATCAGAGACATGCATCGTACCTAAAACAGAAGGTGGAAAAGATGGCGTAAGATTTAAAATAGTGACATTATATACGTAGCTTTCAAGAAGAGAGGTCGCACATCATTATTGAACACAGGTTGATCATCATAAGGTCTAGATTTAGAAGAAGAAACGCTGATATAACTTCGAATGTCACGTATCTTGCTGTTTATCATCAAAATCATTCATTCAAGTTCAAACTTTGCTGTTTCTCCTTTGGTCGAAAATAAAAATGGTACTAATTTCGAAAAATAACTGCGTCGAAAACCGTATGCTTAGTAACGCTGATTCAGGATATATTAGTAGACTTCTTCATGGCAACCGTACTATTATCTTTTCTATTTGTTCATGTCTTTGAATACGAATAATCCGTAAAACTTTTGCCAGTGTCTATATGATTATTTCATGTTTTATTTTGTTTCGCTGTTCATCAATAATGAACATAACAATGAAGTATGATTTCACACGATGTGTACAAACGAGTAGCGACATGAACGTAAAAATATATTATTCTTTTATTGCTTAGACATCTGTTGAAACCTTTCTAACGTCAATTTCCTATTCAACTGTATGGTATGCCAGGTTGAACAAAGGAATAGTTCCAACTCACATCAATGATTTATTCCATCAAGCATTTAAAAAATTCACGAAAACGTACACATCAAAGAAAACGTCAAACACCAGCACCCAGCGACGGATCCAGGATTTTCGAGAGGGGGTGGCGATTTCTAATTTTTTTCAAACAAGCTAGCTTGAATTTTCGTGAAGTATTTAAAAATGTGTGCTTAATCTTTCGAATTCTTTATTTCGTTTTATATAGTATATCACTATGAAGTGATGCCTTTTCATTTGCTTCTTCCCAGGTCGATCAAAACAGACCACCGTAAACCGGCGTAGCATTACCGTAAACTGTCGTTTTTGCATCGTATTCCGTCGTAAAACGGCCGTTTTAAGTCGAATTAGGGCGTTTTAACAGGGGCAGTATTACGGTCATACACGAACACCGTATATCAACCATAAAACCTCGTAAAGCCGGCGTAATATTATCATATTCTATAGAACATACGGCCGTATTACTGCCCCTGTTATATGGGGAAAATACGGCATGTAAAACGGGCCGTATTTGTATCGTATACGATCGTTTACTGATCGTTTTCTTCGACAGGGGTTGCTGGTGATTGTTGCAAATTGAGACTACTGCTTTTTTGAAAAACTCAGTAAGCAAAGGATACATTTCAATCTAGAATATGGTATCCATTTGTTACTCTAAAGCAAGCATTCCCAAATATTTACATGCCATTACTACATGCTTTAGATATTTCGGTCAAATTATATTGAAAAAATCAAATATTTCCCGTAAAAGTTTCAATACCCCTGGCTATACAATTAGACTATC